CTGGCCTCGGCCTTTTGAGGGCAGTGCTGTCAGGCTCTTAGTCCCGTGAGAACACAAAGAAAACGAGAAAGACAACAAACAAAAACCAGATAGGCGAAGAATAACCGACAGAAGCCAACAAACAAAAGCCTCTCAAAGGACAAGCTGAGGAAGAATCTGTCTGGGTGGAGGCCAGGAGGAAGACCAAAGCCAGATGTGAGGAAGAATTCACTGAGAGTCCCCCAGCACCCCCAGGAGGGCATGCCCTCTTCGTATTTGGAAATCTGTTTTAAATGGGTGCCAGGTTCTATTTCTCGGGCTGTGTAAGGCTTCGTAGAGGTAGGCTGCCTCCCAGAAACCCATCCTGCTGAATGGTGCTGAACCCCGAGCCCTGAGCTGCCTTGAGGCTTGAGCCCCTTATAATGTATGCATTTGTTTCCATTTCCAAGTCCTCGTAGAATCAAAGTAGTCACAGCTAGAAGGAGCCTAAGGCGTCATCTAGTCCTGTCCACTCATCACACAGATGAGGAACTGATACTCAGAGTCTTAAAGACTGTCCCATGGTCCTAGCTTATGGATCCTGCCTCCTATCACACTGATTCAAATTCACCATACATCCTACAGTAAACTATAAACATATACAGCAATATCCAAGAGTAAAAACAAACAAACAAACAAACAAACAAAAAAAAACAAACCTGTCTCACAAGGACCATCCAACATCATAACCACAGTTTGTACTCCTCGGCTACTGTGCCTAGCCTCGACAAAATGTTGGTGGGGGGGGAGCGGAGAGGGATACAAAGGTGAAGACTGAATACAGTTCTTGCCCTCTGACCTCATCTCTCTGGTTGCCAAGGTAATATGTAAACAGGTGAAAAATTAGATCCTATTACCAGAGAAAAATATAAGTTCAGGGCAACCACAGAGAGTTTGTACGAAGACCCTTTGGGATCCGTTGCCCTAGATAGAAGCTGATAGGAGGTCAGAAGCCATGCGGTCTAACTGGGCTGGACCCAGGGAAAGGCCCCTCGCAGTGGAGGGGGCGGGAGCTGGCCAGCCCTGGGGCAGATGGACGAGGTCTGCATCGTCAAGGAAGGGATACTTCGTACCCCTAAAATGCACTGCAGACTGAACAGTGCTGACTTCTGCTTCTTTCCCTGGAAGGAGCTGCCGCTTGACATTCTGACCTTATCTCGTGGTAGCATAACGACGGAGCAGGCAGGTGTCCTTCTGCCTCCCCAGGAAGTTCGTCATCCATCCGCAATATCTCCATTTGGTTGACAGTGGCCCATTGCACCGTTTCCCACCTGTGCCATTCACCTAAATGCCCCGTTTTTTTCTTGACGTTTCTCATTTGTGTGTGTCATTGGCATGTACAGACCACACTGGGCATAGTTCCATCTATAATTCTTGAAGTTTTACGAGATACCAGCTTCTGGGCATCATTTGCAAGTATAATGCAGTCATAGACAGAAAAGAGATAGACTAATTAATCATTGTCAGTACTGGTCCCTACTTGCCAAATGAGTTTTTCTGAACAGCATCACTGAAAGTCATTAGTATCAAATTGTATGTCCTTGTTTTATTCAGCATCATGGTCACTGTATACACCTATCCTGGTAGCAATGGGGTATATGAATGGCATAGATTCATTCGTTTGTATTCACCAACTTATACACTGAACACTTATTTCAGCATGTGAACTACAATGAACTCAGAATACTGGGCCTCTGAGGGACCTTTAATAGCTCCCACAGTTCCCTGGGCTTCTCTAGAACCCTTCCGGTCACCTGCAAATAAACAGAATGCAGAGTTTCACTTCGAAAGGCTATCACTGGTACATTCCGCATTATCTAAGTGCTTGGCATGCCCCCAGTCGGGCTGCTTTATGATGGGTACCCAGAGCTCTGTGATTACTCAGACTGATGGTTCACCCCAGGGGACTTTGCATTCATGAGCTGATAAGTCACAGCCACTCGCTGAGATTAATCTCTGTGACACAGACTGCGGCTCTGCTAGAGTCACTAGTCTGCCTGCTGTAGCAGGCTTCAATTTCTCCCCAAGAGAACAGTGATTTCACATACCCAGAAATGTTAGCAATCATCAGAGACTAATGAATGCCCAGTCACAGCTATTCACAGCCTTCCTGAATGCCCTGTTTTGCTTCTGATCACTTTCCTCAGCCCTGATTTCTGATTTTTGTTCTAGGAGCCTGTTTTCATGTACATTGTGGCAGGCTAGCTCAAATAGGTACCCGACAAAGCACTTCTATTTGAACGTGCACAGAATAAGTGAGAACAGTTACCGTGTATCAAGGATCTTTGGTCAGGTGTCATGCTATCAATGCAATCATTTACATAACTGTTTCATTTCATTCTCACAAACATTCCTATGAGGAAGGTCGATATTTTTCATCCTGTTTTAGGGATGATGAAACAGAGGCCGAGGCTGGTGAAGTCACTTGCTCAAGGTTTCTCACTTCACAAGAAACCCAGCTTGGACTCAGTTCTAGGTCTTCTTGAGTCTAATGCTCACACTGGTTTCCTTGACACACTGGGCTAGTATTTTCTCTGTTCAATGAGTAATCAATACTGGAAGATTTCCTGACTCTTCACACTATTTGATGTCTCTATGAAAACTGGTTGATATTCTTTTGAAATTTAAAACATGTTTAGGAGAGGGAATTAAGAAATGTTCTACCTAAAGGGACGGGATGAAGGGTGATATCGGTGGTCAAAGTAATACTGTATTTTCAAATAGTGTTTTAAAAGGATATAAGTGGATTTTGTAATTGAAGAAAAATCTAGTCCCGAATCCTTACAGAATTTTTGTGAGACTGCTCAAGTTCAACTCAATTCACCATGTTCTGTGGCGCCTGTACACTCGACCTGTCAGAATGAGTACAGAAGCCCAGTGCAGGGTGACTTTCCATAGGAAATCAGAGACAGAAAGAGAAACTGACCCCAGTTTTAGGCTTTCTCCTTTAGAGATGATGACAGTCACATCTGGACGTCCAAACATCCCACAAGTTTTCTCTGCAGCCAAGTTATCAGGTTCATTTTTGATTCCCAAGTCATAAAAATCATGTTCTCTAGTGACGCCCACTCTAGGACAGGACTTCATCAGTCCTCCAACAGAGAAAGCCTGGGCTGTATTGGTAAATAGAAGTCAGCCACGTGCATCTGGTTTCTCTGTGACTAGGTGTCCTCACCCACGCTCCTTCAAGTGAATCCGCATGGGGCGAAGCCATTTCCTCAAATACAGCCACTCCTGTGCAAGTCAGTCCCCATAAAATACTTCAAATAAAATGCTCAGAGAGTACACCTGAAACCAATACAAAGTCATATTGAGTGTAAATTGCAAGTAAAATATTTTTAAAGTAAAACTTTAAAAGAAGTGTCTTAATGGTCAGAGAAATGACATTTCGGAGCAGTGAGTGTTTCCAGAACCTGCCCAGTTCAGCGGTGTAGGCTTGGCCAGCCCTGGGCTGAGACCTTTGTGATACCCTCCTTGTACCGTAGTAACATGCCAGGGATGCAAAGCCACCGGCAACCGAAGGGCGTCCAGCTGCCCACAGGCGTTCTCTGTGGGAAGCAACAGGCACTGGGGATGGATGAGAGTGGAGCACAATGGCCGGGAAGGAGGAGCGCACTGTGGCCTCACCTCTAACTGTTGCAGAATGTGACCATCTGGAAAGAAACATCAGCCACCAGAAGATTTAAATGACTGCACAGTTACCGTCACATCTGGATATAGCACATGGTAACATGACAACAAGCAGGTGCTCCGGGTATTGGTTAGCCCAGGGTCCCTCCCAGGCTCCCTCCAGCCCACTCCGCCAGCAGGCATACCCACGGGGTCTGCCTAGCCCACAGCCTGTCTCCACTGCTCACCAGCAGTGTCCTGTCTACACGTCTTGTCTCCCCAACCAGATTGGAGGTGCCCTGTGGACACGGCCAGTCTCACACCACCCCGACCTGATGGTTGCTTTAGGGTCAGTCGGACCAGCGTGGCTGGGCCTGATGTCCTGCAGCTGGGCAGGGGAAGGGCGCCCTGGGGAAAGTCCCCATGGGAAATGGTCAGCACGTACAAGGGAGGGAGGGATTCATGGAGAAGGTTCCCGGATGTTTAGGAGGCACAGGCACGTCCAGTCCGCGACTGGGCTTCTCCTCCGGCCTCCCCATCTCTGAGGAGACCCAAGCTGGTTCACGCAGGGAAAAGGCTTCTCTCCACAGTTCCCCGGAAGACCATGCCCAAGGAGTGGGCTCTGGGGGGCACTTCACCCGGGGTTCTGGGAGACCTGGGTACCTGGCTCCTCCTGGGAGTGTGACTTCGCTGTCCCTCGGGGTGACTTGGGGTCAGTCACTCACCAGACCTTCCTCCCTCCCCTTTCTCTCTGCTCCCTCCCAGTGGGCTGAGTCCAGAGCAGGTAACCACAGCCTCAGGTACTGATCAAGATTAGGGGCACCCCTGCAAACCCCAAATCCGCCAAAATGGGAGAGCAGGGAGAGGAAAATGTCTCCACCAAGACGCTGTAAAAGGCTAGCACCCCAAAGGGCTACAAAGTCAGAGCAGGGAGCAGGCGTGGGCTTTGTCCCCGTGCCTGGTCCCCTGAAGACACTGCGGGTCGGGCAAGCCGCTCGGGTGCCCAGCCCACTGTCCCCAGGCCTCCCGGGAAAAGCCAGGCCTGGGAAAGGCCCGTGTGCCCGGGTGGGTCCGGCTGAGCCCCCTCGGCTGAGCCCCCTCGCCCCGGCCCTCCCTGGGCCCAGAGAAGAGCCCTGTCCGGAAGAGCAAACAGACGAGCTGCCCTTTGGACCTTTTGCAATTCGCCGGGCGCTCCTGAAGCCCGGCCTCCGGGCCCTGGGCGGGCGGCCTCATATAAGCAGGGCGCGGACTGGGCGCACATTCTCACCCGGTGCGGCGGCTGCAGGTGTGTACCCCTCGGCCTGGAACCAGCGAGCGTCGTGAGGCCAGACCCAGGCAGCCAGGCGCAAGGAGGGAGCCGCTCCCGCTCGGCCATGGGCCCGCCGCGGCCGGCGCTGCTGGCGCTGCTGCTGCTGCTGATCGCCCAGGGCGCCCGGGCAGGTGAGCGAGCGCAGGCCCGCGGGTGCAGCGTCGGGCGGCCGGCATCCAGCGGGGGTGGGGGGCAGAGAAGCCAGTGGCAGGAGGGGTGACAGGGACAGCTTGGACTGGGTCAGACGGAGGGTAGCCCAGAGGGTAGCCACAGTGGAGGGACGGGGCAAGGGCCAGGTGGGTGGTTCCTGCAGCCTTGGGATGGAGGTGGGGTGGGGTGGAGGTGGGGTGGGCTGGGGTGGGGTGAGGAAGGGCTGTTTCCTCCTAAAAAAGAAAAGCCCTGTGCAGACAGAGGCCCTTCCTGTAAGACCCTAGGACCCATCTGGAGACGGGAAAACCCACAGCCCTCTTTCTCCATTTCTTACAGAAAAAGACCAAGTGCTGGAAAATGTCAGTCCAAGCTGTTCAAGTAAGTCATTTCCCCACTGGGCAAGGAAGGGCACCCCCAAACCCCATCCCACCCACCTGCACCTCAGGATGCTGTGATGTTGTGATTGATGGGCACTCCACTGAGCCCCAAGAAGCCAGTTCCTTGGACCACTGCCTACCCCCAAGGGGTCTCAACTCCTCCTCCCTGACCTCTGCTCTATCCATGGCCAGGAAGGGGGGGGGGGTGTCACTCTGCTGACCCCTGGATATTTTGAGACATCACCATCCTGTTTATCAATGGCTAATCATTGATTCAAAACTCGTGAGGGTGAGGAAATGCTGACTTTAACCTTTGTGCTAAGACCCAGAGCCTCCCCTTTTGTATTTACCTAACCCTAGGGGTCAAGGGAGCTGGCCTTGCCCTGGTTGCCATGTTCTCCTGAGAGCAGGAAGCTGGCTTCTGATGGGGAAGCACTGCCATCTCGTGGGCATCTGCCATCACTGCATCTAGGCCCATGTCTCAACTGTTCCTTTTCTCAAATTGTTCAGAAAATTCCTCAAGCACAATGGAAACATCCAGATATTCTTCCTTGGGGGTTTCTTCAGTCACCCAAATGCCCTTGACGTTTAGTGAACCTTGCCTCAGGTATTTAGGAGAACCAAGAAAGAGCCACCGAATTGTGCTGTTTTCAAGCGGAAAAGGCATTAGAGATACCTGCTTCAGGCTGTCCCCTTGATTTTTCCGTCTCTCCTATAGATTTTCTGAGTCCCGTTAGCTGAAAATCGTCTCCTTGCATCTGAAATGATATATTCAAGGAATTCCAGCTAATGTAAACATTAGCCTCTGCAAAACGTAGTAAAGAAGTTAAATCCATACCGGAAAATTAAGTATAATACAAAATCAATGAAAAAGAATTTGAGTTTAATTGCCTCTTTTCATTATCTATGCCACTGCCCCCCTGTGCCCAGAGTGGGCTCTCGGAGAGTTATTTCTGCTACGCGGCTGACATATTTGTCCTCACTCTAGAAGGCGCAACTCGGTTCAAGCACCTCCGGAAGTATGTGTACGACTATGAAGCCGAGAGCTCCAGCGGAGTCCCGGCGACCACAGACTCAGCGAGTGTCACCAAGATCAACTGCAAGGTATGGGAGGAGGTGGGGGCCACTGGCGGGCCCAGAGCCCACGGCTGAGCAAACCCGCTCGTGCCGAGACGTTTGTCATCTCCAAGTGCTGGGGGCTGGCCCTGGTTTGAAAGTCGGCCACGTTGCTGAGTTGTCTGCCACAAAAAAGCTTTGCCAACCAGACTTATTTTCCACTGGCTTCCAAGATGTGACTGTAATGCATGCGCTAGACTATCAGCGCAGCAGGAGAGTAGGTTTTACATGAGGAGGGACGTCCAGTGGGTGAGCAAGGGGGTTGGCATCTCGGGAGAGCATGCTGGGGTGCCGTTTCCACCGTCTAAGTCCAAGAGCACCTGTACGGAAAACAAGCAGGAAAAGGAAAAATGTAAATACGCAGTTTGTCTCAAGGAGAATTTTCCTTATTGAGACGGGTGGTGCTCACGGCCCTGCTCACCTGGGACAGATCTAAGCGCCACTGTGCGGGGAAGTCGGGCCGGGAAGCTGCTCTCTTCTTTGCAAGGCCTCCTTGTCTGTGTGGTCACATAAGGTGGCCGTTTGCCACAGGTGACTGTTTAACTGGAATGAAGTAAGAATGCTGTCTCCTAGTCACCCTAGCACATCGCACAGGCCAGCAGCCGTCCTTGGCCGGTGGCTCCCACAGTGCAGATACGGAGCCTTTGCATCGTAGCAGGAAGTTCTTTGAGCAGCCCGGGCAACAACTCGGGATCTGGTTAAACTCCAGCTCTGTGCGAAGGTTTGAATAGTCCCTAAGGGATATAAATAGTTTTATGGGGGGTTTTTGGTGATTTTAAGGACACCTCTGCTGTAAAAACCAATGATCGGCCTGCGGTCCAGAGAGACCCGGGTTCGGTTCCCGCTAAGGGCACGTAACTCGGTTGCAGTCTATCCCCCGCGGCCCTGGTTGGTCGTGTGGGTGGCAGCCACTCGATGTGTCCCTTTCACATCGATGTTTCTCTTTCTCTCTCTGTCTCTGTCTCTCTCTCTCTCTCTTATTCCCACTCTGTCTGAACAAAAAATGGAAAAATGTCCTCAGGTGAGGGTAAAAAAGAAACAAACAAAAAACAATGATCGCCCTCTTCCTGCTTCCGGTTTTTCTCCTTAACTCTCGCTCCTAGGCTACATTTTTTCCAAAGGGCATCCTCTTTATAACCAGAGTTTGTGTAGACCAGTAAAAAGACATCCCCTTTTACGTGCATAAAGGCAAGCTCAGAGACTTGCTGCCCTAGAACAGAAGATCAAAGTCAGGACTACGTCTAGGTTGATTCATAGAGAACCCTTGAGGCCTGTTGAAGACGTATGTGGTGTTGGGGGGCAGGTGTTCTGATTAGGGAGCAAGCCCTGGGCCACAGGGGCCGGCGTGGGGATCTCATCTTCGTGACGGAGGGTCTCACTGTGCCATCCTCCGTCGTCTAGGTCGAGCTGGAGGTTCCCCAACTCTGCAGCTTCATCCTGAAGACAAGCCAGTGCACCCTGAAGGAGGTGTCTGGCTTCACCCCTGAGGGCAAGGCCTTGCTGAGGGAGGCCGAGAACTCGGAGGAGTTTTCTGCGGCCATGTCCAGGTAAGGTGCAGGCCTGTGCATTTCCGTTCCTGAGCTTTCGGCGTTGCCGGCTGTGTCGTGAGTGAGGGCGTGTGTGTGTGTGTGTGTGTGTGTGCGCCCGCTGAGGTAAGAATGTGTCTGTTCATAGTCGGCACATGTATGAGTGTATGTGTATTCTGTGTTCTGCATGGATCAGGGAACTGCTGCGTTTTCACAACAATCCTGTAGAGGGCAGCATTATTTACCCTCCCCTAGTGAAGGTCCCCTAATTATCATTTAAACATGCTTAAACCCCTTGAGATAATAAAGCTGAGGTGGTTTGTTTAAACACAGAAATTCTTGTTTAGAGAATTAAGCAAGAGAGGGTGCATGGCGGTCCCCAGGGAGAGTCTCAGCAGGACTCGGAGTTGTGGCCCACACACGGCATGCAGGGTCTGGTCACCTCTTCTGACGTTGTACCAGTTGCTAAATACTTTGAATGTCACCCCTGCCTCGTCGTCAAATCACAGTTTGTGGAGTCCTAAGAGTGTGCAAATACGAGCAGCCAGAGATGTGTGCATTTGGTAGCACTGGACACTGCCCGCCCGTCTTGCGGGTTGTTGGCCGTTAGACCAGGAAACCAGTGCTTGGTGGGCAGAGCAGGTCTCGACGCCGCTGCCCCTCACCAAGACACCTCATGTTCTCTGAGACAGGTGTGTGTGGGGAGCAGGTACAGTGACGGGAGGGGTGAGCAGCAGTTACGTGTTGTCCTTACCCTCCTCCAGTGAAGAAGCTTGACCCCCTCCGGACTTCCAGCCTGCATCCCAGTGTCTGGAGCGTCCTGAGAGCACAGAGCTGTGGGAGGCGTGCCTGGTTTCGAGTAACCAGAGCAGGTGCAGCCAGGGGCTTCAACCCCCAGCAGGACGCTCCCGAAGGAAAGTCCCTGAGCTCGAGGTTGGCCGGGGCCTCAGGCGTGGCCTCAGGCGTGGCCTCAGGCGTGGCGTGAGAACATAGCAGAGTGAATGTCCCACAGATGTGTGACCGGAAGCTCAAGTGGACAAGCAGTCAGGAACGCGATGACTGTCGCAAGATATTTAGTTAGCACCTTATACGCCTGAGACTACAGACTTTTGAAGCAGCGACAGCACCTGTCGCCGGCTGGTCTCCGAGGGAAAGTGCACTTTCCTGCACTGGTGGTGGCATGAGAGCCGTTAGCCGACGTCTGCTGTCACTAAGTCCAGGGTAGCCTTTGACACAGCAGTTTCCAACCGGGGGGCTCCAGCCCGTGGGAAGAAAAGCAGTAAGGAGAGAAGAGACATAGGATGTCCATTTCAGTGTTGTCCAGGTAGCCCCGCCCCCAAGTAAAATCCGGAAAGGGAGAGAGTGAATGCCGCTGAGTAGGAGGGTGTCTGACTAAGTCCCATACAGGCATAGAATTCAGTGCTTGCGGTTTTTTAGAAAGACTCCGTTTGAGCTCACCCTAATGACTTGAAAGGATTTGCGGGGCTTAACAGAAAAAGGAAAACGTGCATACTGCGATGCTATTTGTGGAGGACAAGCAACAGCGATGCCTGCGCCCACCCGCCCGCGTGGGCATGTGCGTGGAAGCCGGGTGTGCGTGGGAGCCGGGTGTGCTGGGAGACGGAGTGGAGCCTGGGGCGGGGGCGGGGGCGGGGACAGGTGAGTGGGCAGAAAGGAAAAGGAATAATAGAATGCCAAACACATACACCTACGTGTATACCGTTCTAAACAGGTAGAGATATATTTATAAAGAAAAGATGTAAAAAGAAAAACAATAAGCAAAAAAAAAAAAAAAAAATTTAAGGCTGCAGAGCTACCCAGCATCTGCCCAACAGGCCCCTGATGGAGAAAGACCCTCTGTGACCACACTCTCTCTGGCACAGGTCCGAGCTCAGGCTGGTCATTCCCGAAGGGAAACAAGCTTTACTTTACCCAGACAAGGAGGAGCCCAAACACATCCTGAACATCAAGAGAGGCATCATTTCCGCCCTCCTGGTTCCCCCGGAAACGGAAGAGGCCAAGCAAGTGTTGTTTCTGGTGAGAACTCAGAAGGCTGATAAGACGGCCCTGTGAACACACCTTCCCGTATCTGAGCTGGGTCCCTCTGTCTGCACAAGCGAATCACTGGCTTAGCTGCGTGTCCACAGGAAGCTTCCCTGGTGTGAACACCAGTGCCCAAGGCTCCCTGCCCTCGGGGCTCCCTGTCAGATCATCCCGAGCAGTTTCTGGGGAGCCCTGGCCACCCTCCCACCCTGTTGGATTTTGTTCTATTCCGTGTATGATGGCGAAGCCTACGCCTGTGTGAACACGGAAAGATGATCGAATCGGCTGCCAGCCTTGTTTAAGAATCTGAGGTTTCGATCCGAGAGAGAATTCACTTTCCTGGGGTCCCATGACCATGTTGGAGGCCTTGCTGTGTTCTCAGTTCTAGACTGCATGACAGGGACTTCTCGGGTTTGGGGGGAGAACCAGAACACATACAACACAGGCAGATTGGAATACGTGTCATTAGTGAGCAGCAGAGGAAATTCTCGGAGAACACAGAGCATAAGTCAGAGTTGGCCGGGTCCTAGGAGGCCAGGTCGGCGGGACTCAGAACCAAAACCCCTTCCCTGCTGACCTCCCTGCACCTCTGGCTGGCCAGGTGTTGGCAGTGCCCACACTGCCTGAGAGAAAGAAAGTCCCTCCAAATTCATGTTGCTCCGACCTTTTCCTCCAGGCTCCTTTCCCAGCCCTTTCCAAAGCAACTAAGGATATTTCCCCATCTTGAATACAGCTGTTGTATCTTCTGCTCCCATAGGATTCTGTGTATGGAAACTGTTCCAGTGACTTTACCGTAAAAACGAGGAAGGGAACCGTGGCCACGGAAATATCCATCGAAAGAAACCTGGAGAAGTGTGATCGCTTCAAGCCCGTTAGCACCGGGGTGAGCCCGCTTGCTTTGATCACAGGCATGGTAAGTTTCACACCAGCACCGCTGTTCATACTGTTCTGTTGCTAAAGTTCTGGAATGTAGAGCTGGTGGGGATCTCAGAGAACCTGCCCAGCCTCTCCTTCATCTAGACCGTAGATGAAACTGAGAACCAGACGAGAAAGGACTGCCCGAGGCCACGTGGCCTGCTATTAATTGATCCGGGACTAGAATCAGGTTTCTGACTTTCAACCCAGAACTCTGTCCTTCTTGCTGTCATTCTGTTGCCGGCACCAAACCTTCTGCCATCACTTGAGTGTAATGACTGTCCATCCCCAAGAAGTCTCCAAGACCCAGTGTCGGGGAGCAAGCCACCTACTGTTCCTTCTGTGCCAGGGCTGGATGTCCCCAGCTCTGAGCCTTTAGCCTCCAAGGAAGTCCCAAGACCTAGGTTCTGCTCTCCTCTCCCCAATTCCCATGAAGTGACAAGGCTGCGAACATTCCAGAGTCCCATCTTTCTGTTCCGTGGATGACCCTAATCCACGCCTGGCCCTCTGTCTCCTTCCTGGGCCACCTTCTCTGATGTCCCCTCTAAAGAGGTCACGTAGCACCATGTTACCTGAGCCTGCCTGATGCCTTGTAATATGTTCTGGGTCAGAAATCACAGCTTATCTCAGTAAACGCAAAGGACTTGAGCAATCATGATCTACTTGGCAATGTTTCTGGTCACTGTCCTTGGGCCCGAAAACAGGGAGTCTGATGACCACGGGGCCACAGCCAGAAGAGGCCAGTGCACTGGTGTCTGTGTGTTTTCCTGAGTAGCTGCTGTGTGCTCAGCCCCACTCTGGACGGCATGGAGAGAGAAATGGGCAGACCAGGGCGGACCTCCCCTCAGGGTGCTCACCGTCTAGTGCAGAAACATGTTCACACACGTGTCAGTAAAGGACAGATATGGTGTATCCAGCAAAGTGAGGAACTGAGCAGGGCGGACCAGCAGCCCTCGGCCCGTCCGCGGAGGAGAAAGCACTCTCCATGTCGCTCGCTGGGCACAGCGGCTGGTGAAACCCGTGAGGAGAAGTGGCGGGTGAGCATCAACGAGTCTAGCTCACAGTTCACGGAGGCTGCGGAGCATGAGACTGAAAGCGACAAAGGATGTATAAGTGGAAGAGAGACACAAGGGTGGGCTTCCAGGCAGAGAAAACCCAAGGAACAGTGGAGTGTGGAGCACTAACGTGTGGTGGGGCAGGTGTGTGTGGGAGCCCGGGGCACATGCCCCTCGTGCAGGAGGAGAAGTCCGCTGGGGCAGAGAAGAAGCGTCTATAGCTTGACTCAGCTTTGGATACGCTACCTTGTTACATCCCCTTGTCTAAATGTCAAGTATCAAGTTCTCTTCTTTAAATGAGTGTGTCTAGTGGCACAGGATTCTCACCCTCCCCCCACCCTGCTTCCTTGAAGGTAAATGCCTGTGGCGGAAGACTCGGGTTCGAGGACTGACCAACATGCGTTCCCCCGTCTCGTTCACAGACCCGGCCCTTATCAGCTCAGATCAGCAGCACCCAGTCCTGCCAGTACACTCTGGACCCCAAGAGGAAGCACGTGTCAGAAGCCATCTGCAAGGAACAGCACCTGTTCCTGCCGTTCTCCCGCAAGTAGGTCACCTGCTGCACCCCGTTCCTCATCGGTGGGGTCCGTGTGAGCTGAATGCTTCTCAGCTGCCCTGTTTCAGACCGGGCTGTGAAGAAATGCAAAGCAGAACCCATCCCTGTCCCCCTTTTCAGGCTAACAAGTGACGTGTTAGGAAAATCTTAGACATGCAAAACAACCTGAGACTTACAAAAGCTGAGACCCAGGCTTTAAGGGTCACGGATCAGGAAAAGGCAGGATCCCTGCAGGCTGCGCTGGTCACAAGGGCTGTGTGGAGAGTTTGGAATTTAGACTGGAGAGAGATGTATCCAAATCTATTTTGAAAATTGATCGGTCGGTGAATGTGTATTGAGTAACTGTGATATTCTTGGCCCTGTGTGGTGGGAGGTACAAAGGAATTTCAAGGCACAGAGTTAGTCCCTTACCCTCTAGAGACTCCAGACTGGTTGAAGGTATGAGGTGCTTATGTCCTTCGATGGAAGGACAGCTAGTGTGACCAGGAGGAAGTGGGTGCTGTTAATTAGGGGGGTCAAGATGTCTGGATGTAACCGTGGTTTGAAAGGTGGGCAGGACTTGGATAGAAGTGGAGACAGGAGTGATATTCGACATGAAAAGTTGCCCTGGGGAGCTGACCGTCCTTCGTCATCTGATGGCCTTCCTTTATTTCCAGGGACAACCATGGGATGATGACACAGGTTACACAGACTTTGAAACTTGAAGACACACCTAAGATCAACAGCCGCTTCTTTGATGAAGGTTAGGCTTTATGCCGACACGTTTGCCAGGGCTGGGGACTCGGCCCGACATGATCCATGTGTCATGGCTCCTTGCTGTTAGCTCCTTGCTGGGCAGTGAGGTTGGTGCGCTCTGGTGCCCCGGCTGCGGGCTGCTCCTGGGAGAAAGCATGGTCATTTGAAAGCGTCAGGTGACAATGGCATACAGGAGCGGGCAAGGGTTGCCAAAGCTACCCAGGTTTTGTAAGTAGGGAACCGGCCTGCTAAGTCTACCTTTCATAGATCTGACAACCTCACGCACCCTGTGATGAGGCCGGGGACCCAGAATTGAGACTGGAGACCTGGGCAAGTGGCAGAGGTCCCCTGGGGTCAGGAATCGGTTCGGAGCTGGACGTGGAGATCTCGAGCACAGCTCTAACCCTGTATCTGTCTCATATTGAGCTCTGCGCATGCGTTACCTCACTGTCCTCAGCGACCTGCAATGTCAGGTGGTGACAAAGTGCTTTTGTACCCTTTCCACAGAGATGGCACGCAGAGAGGCGCAGTGATATATTCAAGATCACAGCATATTAGAGGGGGTACAAAATGAGCCCCCAGGTCTAATCCTAGCCAGGACCCTCCAATACACCACGCTTCCATGCTGAATTAACCCCCCTCCCTAGCGGATCAGAGCGGGGCAATAGAGGGGACACAAAAGGGTCCCCCCCCACCCCCCCGCTGCCGTTAGATTCAGCGGGAAGACATGGCGGGTGAGCCTCGGCTGTAGTCATAGCAGCAGCAGCGCCTCCTCACTGCCTCTCCTGGGCGGAGAGCTCATCTCATACCACATCCAGACAAGCCTGGATTCGACTGCAGCTCAGCCTCTTATACCCAGAGAGGTCTTGGACAGGATGAGTCACTTAAATCTGGGTCTTAGCTCCCTTTCCTTTAAATCGAGGAGCATACCCACCCACAGGGAGAATCCGATGAGTCAGTGGAAACACTGACGTCACACACCTGGCACAGAGCCAGATACGGAGTGGACACCGAGGACAGGATAGTTTTTGTTTCTTTTCTCTTTGCTATTACCCACTGATTCCCAGTTTCCAGTAGGTCAAGACAGGGTGCGATGTAGAGGTAAGCAGGGAGTCCTTTGACCCTCTCCTCCGTCCAGGCACCAAGGGAGTGAGTCTTGCCTTTGAGACAACCAAGTCCTCGTCGCCGAAGCAGGCCGAGGCCGTCCTGCAGACCCTCCAGGAGCTGCAGCAACTGCCCGTCTCCGCGCAGAATGCCCAGCGGGCCAACCTCTTCAACAAGCTGGTGACTGAGCTGCGAGGGCTCGACAGCGACGCGGTCACATCCCTTCTGCCAAAGCTGGTCGAGGTGTCCAGGTATTTCTTCAATGGTTGCAGCTCAGACTTCCATGGGTAACAAACCTAAGGCAGCTGCTGAACCTTGGCCAAACAGAGAATCTCAGGGACCACTGAAATATCAACCCAGTTAGCCATTTAGCCAATCAGTTGTGTTTTCTGGACAGAGGAATATCACCTAAGATGCCCAGAGGTCCATGGGGGAACACACACACACACACACACACACACACACACACATTGCATCCAAGGCAAATAACTTCCCACATTTTGATGGGTATCTTCTCATTCCTTGTTCTGTCACCCTGGAAGGTTTGAGAGACAACGAAGTCTGGCCTTTTGGAAGCCTTAGGCTAATGGAGACAGAATGCAGGCAAACAAAATAATGCTGTGACTTCTCCACACTTCAAGGCACTGGCTCTTAGTGCTGAGAGGGTCAGAGAAGAAAGTGAGGGCTGAAATGAGACCGTGCCCGTGTTCACCCGGCATGTTCTGTGTTCTGGCCAAAGGGCAGTGATAACAGTGCTCTTCTGGGGATAAGGCCAGAGGTCCTCCTTCAGACTTGCCTCCGTGCTGCCTCCTTCGTGGATAATGCTCGGAGGGAAGACGTCCTGATTCGTGGGGTCAGGGTTCTTGAGATCTGAGTTGGATTTTGAAATATGGTTGGATTTGGACAGTGAATAAAGGCAGTAAGGGCAGAGGGGACACCAGGGTCCAAGGAGCTGTTAGCTGCCTTGGAGGTGATCTGCGTCACTTTCTCTGCCCTCTCCTCCTCAGCCCCGTAACTCTGCAAGCCTTGATTCAGTGCGGACAGCCCCAGTGTTACATTCACATCCTCCAGTGGCTGCGAAGCGAGAGAGCCAACCCGCTAGTGATAGATGTTGTGACCTACCTGATGGCCATGGTCCCGGAGCCCTCAGCCCAGAGGCTGCGGGAGATCTTTAACACCGCGAAGGAACAGCAGAGCCGGGCGACCTTCTATGCTCTGAGTCACGTGATCCTCAAGTAAGTTTCACCCCGGTTCTCCTAGGAGGGGCTGAGGAAGACCCCCCATCTCTGCATTAAGATGGTACCCCTTCCTCTGCTTTCAGACTCTGATGCTGACTCTCTTGTTTTTCTCCTGGTCTTTTTGAGAGTACTGACTTGAAATAAGACCTCGGCAAATGCAGTTTGGATTGTAAGATAAACCCAGCCATGCTCACTGAGTCCTAACTCTTATTCTGTAGCTATCATATGACACACCCTACAGAGACTCAAGACCTGCTAGACATTGCTGACTACCTGCTGGAGCAGATTCGTGACGACTGCACGGGGAACGAAGATCACACCTACTTGATTCTGAGGGTACTTTTCTCTTTTTGCATATTGTGCATCATTTCAGACGCACTTTTCCTGGTCACCTCTTCCGTCTCCTTCTGCACCCTCATTCCCTGTGGTTGCTTTTCAATGCAGGTCATTGGAAACATTGGTGGAACCATGGAGACGCTGACCCCAAGACTCACATCTGCAGTCCTGAAATGTGTCAGAAGTACGGCGCCGTCCCTGCTGATTCAGAAGGCTGCCATCCAAGCCCTGCGGAAAATGAAGAACACAGATGAGGTAAAGTCCACGGGAGAGGCTGAAACTGAAAATCATTCAGGTTGACAAGGATCTGGAATGAGATTTTACATTCCGTCCTCCTACAGACTTAATTCTACTGCTTTCTTACTGCAAACTCTCAACAAGCCTAATGACTTGACTGCCTAGCAGGGTGTGTACATGAGAGAAGTGTTTGACCTTGCTGGTGCTCCAGAAGACAGAATTTGAGGTTTTCACCACGTGCTCTCCTCCTGCCAGACTGAGCATCACGCTCGCTCTCCCCTTAGGAAACCAGGCCTGATTGTCCCCGATCTCCCCAACCTAGGGCAGTGAACCTGCCCCTACCTTAAGTGACAGAAGTTTCATATTCTTGGATACCACCTTATTTATTAGCCCCCAACTCTCATCTCCCTTATTGAAATAATTTATGTTAAAACAACTGTATTTTCAGTTAGTGGCAGGTCTCCTACATAACTTGGCCATAACTTGCATATTTTCATGAAATTGAACTTGACATGCATGCGGTAGGAGTCTTCCGAGAAGGAAGCCAGCATTTGAAGAGTTACGAATGAGAAGTGTGGCTCGCACATAATACGTTGCCTACAAACCATGCCACGTGCTTGCCGGGCCTGTTCTGCATTCAGGACAGTGATCACTGCCTCCTCTTTTGGCTGCAGGTCCGAGAAGTCCTCCTTCAGACTTTCCTGGATGCTGCTACCCCAGGGGATAAGCGACTGGCTGCCTATCTCATGCTGATGAGGAGCCCTTCTCAGTCAGATGTGAGAAAGATCACCGAACTCCTCCCAGGGGAACTGAATGAGCAAGTGAAGAACTTCGTGGCTTCCCACATCGCCAACATCTTAAAATCAGAAGACTTGTATGTCCAGGGGTGAGTAAGAGTAGTTTTCCCCCACCTGTTACAAAGGGCCGAAATTCCAAACCTCCATTTGGATTTAGCCACTGGCCCTTCCATATCAGAATTCTTTCTTCTGGAATAAACACTTGTTCAGAAGTACAGCAGACCTGAGCCAAATTCTTGGGGCAAACTCACGAATTTGGTAGCAACTGGAAATCCATCTTGACTTCGGGTGAGGGAGACGATGCATACGTTGCGTGATGTGTTACGAAACAACACAAAATATGAAATGTACTCCTTCTTTTCACGTAGTTTGAAAAGGTTGGTGAATGAAGCTCTGAAAAATGCTCAGCTTCCAACTGTCATGGACTTCAAGACATTTTCCCGGAGCTACCACTTTTCCAAATCCGCTTCTCTTCCATCGCATGACCCGGTCTCAGCCTCAATCGAAGGCAATCTTATATTTGACCCAAATAATTACCTGCCTAAAGAGAGCATGCTGAAAACAACCCTCACTATCTTTGGATTTGCTCCAGTTGACCTCTTCGAGGTGAGTCTGAGACTGAAGAAGAGCCTTATGCTTTCTAGCCCATTCTGCTTACACCATAAACAGATAATCCTGAGAGCCATGGGCCAGCGGGGGCGGAACAAGAGTCATCAGGCAGTTAGTTCGGGACCATCACTTTGTGGCCGTTTTCTTCCCAGCTCCCTGCCTTCCTGCTAGGGGGTCATCTGAAGCGTGGCTTCTTATGAATGGAAATGCAGCTGTCCCAGAAAAGCCCTTGGTCCCCAAATCTAAGGAAGTCATGGGGTGGGTGGTCAGATAGTCCTGGTTCAAACTCTAAGTCCATTCCCAACTCTGAATCTTTGGTTGAATTATTTGTCCTCTCTAAACCTTAGCTCCCTCTTCTGGAAAAAGGCAAATAATAAGTTTTGTCTTTCAAGACTCCCGAGATGTAAATAAGACCAATCCCATGGAGTGTGGAGCTCAGTCCCTGTCTTAGGGTATTCATCAAAGACTCGTTTAATTAGATGGACCTAACGAGGGGCAGGGGACGTGGACATACAAGGAAACCTGATAGCATTTTCTTGCCTGATTTTCTTTCTCAGCTTGGCTTGGAAGGAAAGGGGTTTGAGCCAACATTGGAAGCTTTGTTTGGGAAGCAAGGATTTTTTCCAGACAGTGTCAACAAGGCTTTGTACTGGGTTGATGGTCAGGTTCCTGATGATGTCTCCAAGGTCCTGGTAGACCACTTTGGCTACACCAAAGATGATAAACACGAGCAGGTATGTGTTTGTTAAGTGTCCTCTCCAGGAAAGCTTTGGGTCACAGTGCAAAGGTATTTTTATCTAAGGCTGGAAGTAACCAAGGAACTATTTAGCTTAAGTAACAACTATGACTTTTATTAATCAGTCCTGTGAAAGCAAAACCAGTAGCCTCTGCCATCATGGGCCTCCTGGCAATTCAGGGTGCCCAGAAACCAGACTCTTTAGGAGGCTGAATCATATTGTGAGCGTGCAGACTGTGCGGCAGGGATGTGAATTCTAACCTCTGTGTCTTTAAGCTGTGCAATTCTGGGCATGGTGCTTGATATTATGTCCATCTGTTTCTGTTTGAGCACTAATAAGAACCCATACCTCAACCTCACAAGGTTATTTAAGACTAAATGAAATAAAGTATGTAAAACGTTACCCAGAGTGCCTGACTCTGGTACTGATTGCACAATAAACAGATACTATTATAATTTTTAAATTCATATTTTCACTATTATTAACTTCTTTCTTTGGCTCGCACTCACATCAGTGCAATAGCAAAGCAACATTGACTTTGAAGCTACCAGAAGCCCCCACTGAAGGAGTAGAAAATAGATTGTATAATCGGGAGCTTCTTGGTCTTTAACTTTTTGCTACCAGACTGAGGTCTAGTCGTTGGCATCACATCAGAGCTTGTTAGAAATGCAGATTCTCAAGCCCCACTGGGATCTACTGAATCCAAACCTGCATTCTAAGGAGATCCCCAGGTGACTTGCATACAGGGTTCAGTTTGAGAAGCAAGGCAGGAATTCACTCCTGGATGCTCACAGATGGCCCCGCCTCCATCTTCTCATTTACATACCTCCACCTGAGGCTGAGGGTCCTTGATCTATTTTGTCTGTCAATCACTCTGTTCTGTCTCAATGCCTACGCATCAGTCTGTGGAATTCTTATCGCTAAGAAGAACTTGCGGAGCGTCAGGCATTTTTCAAGCTTTTGGCCAGTTTATTTGGCAGCTAACTTTCCCAAGAAACCCCTACTGTTCTTCCCTAGTCAAAGGAGAGAGGGTGTAAGCAGGGGAGGGATGGGGGACAGAGGATCTTCTCAGCTTGGGGAGCCGTCGGGGTCCTGCCTCCTGGGGAGCAGGGATCCCCCTTCCTACACATACATCATTCAAGTCAAGGACAGGGTGGGAGCAGCGCTGCCCCCGACAAGCGCTCAGCTCTTCTCTCTCACTTTGGAGAAGCTGTTTATGCTTTCAAGTGAGAGGCAAGGGCCTGATCTCGGTCTTCTCCGTGTCCCCACCCTGAGTGTTCGTGTTTAGGTTCATCATAGCTGCAGCGGACAGGCCCCCTCGCCAGAAATCTAAGTGTTTGACCATGCTGACATCTCACTAGATACTCTGTTGTTCAAACCCCAGGACATGGTCAATGGAATTATGCTCAATGTTCAGAAGCTGATCAAAGATTTGAAATCCAAGGAATTCCCAGAAGCCAGAGCCTACCTCCGCGTCTTGGGAGAGGAGCTTGGCTTTGTCAGGCTCCATGACCTCCAGTTCCTGGGAAGGCTGCTCCTGGATGGTGCGCGTACGCTGAAGGGGATCCCCCAGATGGTAAGTGGGCCAGCCCTATCACAGGTGATGAGATTAACCTGTGCGCTTTTTAGGTCTCAGACCTCGTAAGATTCTGGCCACACGACCCAGCTAAAGTGGTTGTACTTCCTTCAAAGAGGGTTTGCCTTGAATTTCAGTGAAGAAGATTCTTGGATCACAAGAAATTGGTAACATTTATAAATTAAGCTATTCATCCTGTTAGATGTATCTTTTAAGAGCATCCATTTGTTCATGGAAACCAGTGTTAAGTGTATCTCCTACCAATGCTACAGGTTTCCTTTAATATTGAAATGATGCAAATATTATGAAAGAACGTTATTTGGAAAACTGTAATCTACTCTCTAATATGAGCCATAGTTTTTATGAATGTATTAAGAAGGAAGAAAATATGGACGTTTACTCCCTAGGATTTAATAAATAATAATGTTTGCTTCAAGAAAACAGATCTCAAGTTGTTTTCTAGATATGTCTTTAAAACAAAAGCTAATGCACATCATCTCAGTAATGTGTTAGTTTCAAAAAATTAGTTTTACCGTAATATACTGTACTTCAAGTGCATCTTCATTTACATGTAGTCTCCAAACAACCAGAATGAAGCCCTGCTGTGCAATGAGGCTTCAAGTTCATAAAGCCCTGAGGCCCAGCTGCATCCGTAGATGCCTTCCGGAATCACCAGTTGACGATGCTGATATCTATCCAGGGCAATATTTTCTATCCCAATGTGTCGAAATCAAGAATTATTCATGTTTACTTCTTAAACTACTCAGCTATTCTAAAGATGCTAGACCCCTCCTTCCTAGATGAAGAAGAATCATTGTCTGATGTGTGTGGGGGGGAGCATTTCACAAAGCCCACTTCGATGAGTCTCGCGTTAGTGACTGTCTCCTGTTGGATCTACAGATTGCAAAGGCCATCACACAAGGTTCACAGAATGACTTGTTCCTTCACTACATCTTCATGGATAATGCCTTTGAAGTCCCCACCGGACTTGGGTTACAACTGCAAGTGTCGTCCTCTGGCGTCATCACTCCTGGGGTCCAGGCTGGGGTGAAACTGGATGTAAGACTCTGCTCACCTTTTAGTACCTCCTGTTGTTCTTCTCCTCCTGGGTGGCTTCCTTGTGCAGTTTCTAAATGTGTTTCCAGTTCAAGGGGAAGTTCCTCGTCAATGCAATCACCACATTAATTTTTACAAAACAGTTTAGGGTTCACTAGCATGAACCACCTTGCTAGCTCCCGTGGGCATGGCAGTCACAGGAGAACTCAGCTATTCTCTCAATACATGAGGATTCCTGTCATCTTTTTATCTCATGCTTAAAGTTAACTTAGGTACATCCTAGTCCTGGGTATCAGAGTTGTCTGGCCCTGGAGAACTGAGAACTTGGCTTCTCTTCCTTCAAACAGACCACAGTAATGTTCCCTGAGGTGCGAGCTATCCTAACATGTTTGCCTGAGGACGAGAAGGGGGTTGATCTGACTGCAGGGGACTAGAGGATTGAGCAAAGCTCAATCGGTCATTTTCTGACTTACAGAAGATGCAGGTGGAGCTGGTGGCCAAGCCGTCTGTGTCCGTGGAGTTTGTGACAAATATGGGCATCATCATTCCAGACTTTGCTAGGAGCGGGGTCCAAATGAACATGAATTTCTTCCATGAGACAGGCCTGGAAGCACGAGTTGCCCTAACCTCTGGGCAGCTGAAGTTCAGCATTCCAGCGCCAAAGAGGCCAATCAAGCTGCTGAGTGTCAGGTAATTCCTCTGGTTAGTTCTGACCGGCCAGTTTGAAAGAGAACTGACACTGGACCTGCAGGACGTGGCCAGGCCAGACAGCTGATGAGGTCATTCTGGCCCCAGGGGACCTGCAGTGACAGAGGGAGAGGAGGTACTATTTCCTATTTGTGACCTAGCCTAGACTCACTAAATAGTTACGATTTCCCCAACCATCCACATTTTACTAAATGGAGACTTAAGACCTACTGATGAACTAGTTTTGATCTAGGTTGTGGCTTTTTTTGTTGTTGTTAGTTTGTTCTGGGGATGAAAAAAAAACAAAACAAAACAAAACAAAAAAAAACACTAGCTCTAGAGAAATCATGCTTGGGAAATGAACACTTTTCCCAGGAAAAAATACCAAAGGACATACTGACGTGTGCTAGCCAGCTCAGTAGATAAAGCATGTAAGTCCTAATACATGATTCTGGGATAGAGTCTCATCTTAAGAGCTTTATTTTCAGTGATATCCTCAAACATTGATTTACCTTAGTTTCCATATTTGGGGCACATTAATTTGTTGATTCAAAAATAGTATTTAATGACCTAAGATAGACCAAGCATGCTGCACGGGAGAGCTTATGGTGTACCGGGAGGGCGGACAGTGAAACAGCGAACTAGAAGCGCCGGCAGAGTTGGAGGAAGCATTCGAGGGCCGTGGAATTCCATGTCACGTAGCCTGTGGCGGTTCAGTACCGCTCTCGGAAGAAAGCATGCCTGAGCTTAGATCTGGAGTTGTGTCAGAGTTATTTACACACAAGAGAAAGGAATGAGCGTTCTCAGGCAAACAGAAAAGCACGTGCAGCAGCCTGAAGGAAAAGGACTATGGCTCAGGCCCTGGCCGATTTTGCTCAGTGGTTAGAGCCTCATCAGCCCACAGACCAAAGAGTCACAGGTTCAATCCCCAGTCGAGGGCACGTACCTCAGTTGCAGGTTTGATCCCCAGCTGGGGCCATGCAGGAAGCAACCATCGATGTGTCTCTAGCATCCCTGTTTCTTTCTCTCTCTCTCCCCCTCCCTCCTTCTCACTCTGTCTGAAAAATAAGACTGTAATTCAGGAGCTGCGGTACATTCAGTGTAACAAGAGCCCGGGAAAGTAGTGGAAGAAGACGTGAGAGGCTGGCAAGATGAGTCTGTGGACCTTCTGAAGGAGTTTGAACTCTTCCGAAGGCAGAGTTTACATTGGGAGTAGGTAGGGTAAAGGGGGGTGCTTTAGAAGAAGCAGTCTGACCCAGAGTGGAAAACGGACGGACAGGGGGCAGGACTAGAGACAGAGACACCAGGTGGGGCCTGTCACAGTCACACATGGTTGCAGGTAGGGGTGAGCCGACTCTAGAAGTCCTCAGCGACGTGAGTAACTTGGTGATTGACGGGATAGAAGGATACGAAAAATGGGGCGAAGAAAGAGCAGAGGGGAGAGGGGGTGCCCGTCGTTGGAAAAGGGAGCGACGAGGGAGAGGGGCTGGTGTGAAGGAAGATGACAGACTCAGTCTCGGAGAGAGTGCGTGGGGACCGATGACTTCCCAGCCGGACCAACGGGTCTGAGCCCAGCGGAAAGGTTTGAGCCACAGATCCAGTCTGGGAGTCTGGCACCTGGAGGTTATCAGATTCAAACAGCGACGGGTGTGGAGTAAAACATGAGTGACTAGTACAGGAGCGTGGACGGTATAAGCCCACGAAGTGGGAGAGAACAGCGGCAGAGTGAGGCGTGCTCAGAGGACAGCCAGCCGCGAGGGTCGGAGAAGCCCGGGCGTGGCCACAGGGTGGGCCTGGCATGGAAGCCTCCAGCCCACCAGCACACTTGGCCATCAAGCACGCTCAATGGGAGGGAACGATACTGAAGAAAGGATGTGGTCAACCAAAGCATCCTTGGGTGAAACCGGGACACTGTGGAACTTACACTTACTAACTTTTTAAGTACACACGTGGGAGAAGGGTAGCATACATCTCTGCAGAGGGTACAGACTCGGAAGTCTTAATCTGGCCATAGGTCAGCAGCTCCACTGAACGCTTCCAAGAGAGCAGGGCCGATGAAGCCGAAGAAACGCCAGGGGAGTTAGGGGCGAGCAGGTGATCGGAGATGCGATGAAAGCAGTTCCAGAAGCAGGAGGCGGGCGGCAGCCAGATGGCAGTGCGGGGAGGGGGGTGTGGAAAGAAAGTGGAGGCGGCAAAGACAGACAGATTTCCTGATTGTGGGGGAGATAAGGGGGGGTATGAGAGAGAATGAGAGAAGACACTTAAACGTGTTCAATGCTAATGGAAAGAAGCCAGTGGAGAATAAGAGATTTCAGATGACAGAGACACTGGGCACCTCTTACCCTGCCTCAGAGGAAGGAACACAGCTGAGGTCAGGGCCCAGGGATGGTTACTTGGCTCCTCTGAGCCTGTTTCCTGTGAAAAATGAAGCTCCTAATGCCTACGGTTGTGGGGATTGCAGATAACAAGTGTAAAGAATTTAGTGCAGTGTCTGAGACATAGAGTCACTGTGGTGGTTAGCCTTGCTGATGCTCTTCTTACGCGGATTTGTTTCTGAGTAAATCAGAGAATTTGAGGGGGGTGTGGATGGGGGAAGACAGAGGGCAGGATAAGGGGGCATTTGCAATGCGAGGATGATGTTCATTCGGATTCATGACTTGAAGGTAACTCGGGGTTTCTCTTTCCTCACTAGTAACACGTTGCATTTGGTCTCTACCACCAAAACCGAAGTGATCCCACCTGTAATGGAGAACATGAAGACCTGGTCAGTTTGCAAGCCTTTCTTGACGGGCATGAACTACTGCAGCACCGGCGCTTACTCCAACACCAGTTTCTACTATCCTCTGATCAGAGACATCAGGTCAGACATGTTCAACATCCCACCCAGCACCTTCTTACCTCCTCACATGAATGCCGCCCAGCAGGGCAAAGGAAAAAACGTTGTGTGTTGTAGGCCTGTGTCAGCAGCCCCAAGGGTTTGCACGATCCATTCATTATTTAAAACAGTGGTCCTCTACCCCATATCCCTGAAGAAGACACATATTGCTGCCCCTACACTCTGAGTCCAGGACTGGGTTCCTCCGTAGGGGGAGGGGAGGGGAGGAACCATGACCACTGAGGCAGGTCTTAGCTCGAAAAATAGTCCAGTTGATGCTCTCATACTCCCCCAAGGACCTGCCCCCACTGCCACTGAGAATCACTCCTTTGAAAGCATCTCTTTGTAGATGGCGCCCCTCTTTCTCCTTATGCATGAGATCGGGTATCACAGTACGGATTCCAATTTGCTTCTAATTCGGGGTCCGTGTTTCTGAGCCTCCAGACACATTGGGGTGGCCTTTCCTGGAGCCCACTGGTGTTCAAAGCCTTCACCATGCTTAAAAGAAACTTGCCTTCAACCTTCCACCCCCCCCCACACACACACACACACTCACTGCTTGTTCTCAGCTTTGCTGATAAACCAGCAACTCCTGCTCCGCTTGTCCAGAACCCCTGGGAATTCTGGGCTCTGCCTTTGCCTTGGGCTCTTCAAGGGACTGACAGGGATCATAAAACCCATCACTAGTTAAGGACAAGAGTCAATATGAAAATAAGGACCATGTTTCTGTTGCTGTGGAGGCTGAGTTGCTTTGTCGACATTCTCATCATCACGGGCAACTCTAACATCACTCGCCATGTGCATTGTAGCATCTTTAGGTACGAACTGGAACTGAAGCCAACGGGAGAAGTCGAGCAGTATTCCGCCAGCGCATCCTACCATGTCCAGAAGGAGGGCGAGGCCTGGGTGAACACGCTGAAGTTTGCAACAGAGGCAGAAGGTAAGTACCCAGGAAGGGGCTCTTCCATCTCCGCCCTCCGTCTCAGGCCCAGACCTCACAAGGAGAACATCTTTACGTTGATGGATATAACTGACATGTACTGAGTGCCTGGTTAAGTCTCAAGTCTATTCCCAGAGCAGAGGTTAGGACGGTAAACAGTGGAGATCGACTCTGCCCTCACGGAGTTTATATTAATAACCAAGCAAGTACGTATTTAGAGTGTCAGATAGGTGCTGAGGAGAAAAAGAAATTGAGGAGCCCGAAGAATGTTGGGAGTGGAGGGAGGAGGAAGGAAGAGGGAGGGCAGTGCCATCTCAGTGACAGACTCCGAGAGACTTGAAGGGATCAGCCATATGGGAAGAGCTGTACAGACTGAGGAGGCAGCAGGTACAAAGGCCCTGAGGCAGGTTACAGCCGCTATGTTTGAGGGAAAGGGAGGAAGCCAGTGTGGCTGAAGCGGAGAGAGCAGGGAGGAAACGGTAGAAGGTATGGTCAGAATGGTAGGGCGAGGTGGGGGAAGCATAGTCTTGTAGGTCTGGGTAAGAACATTGGCTTTTACTCAGTGAAATAAAAAGCCACTGGAGGGTTTCCAGGATTTGATTTATATGTATGTTGAGGAAAGACTTTGGGACACAAAGGCAGAGAAATTAGTGTGTAGGCTGTGGCAATAATCCAAGCAAAGGTGGGGGGCTTTGGATTAGCGCGGCGCAGGAGATGTGAGAAGTGATCGGGTTCTGGCTCTGATGTTGAAGACTAACCTGGCGAGATGCGCCGCTGCAGTGGGAGGGCTGTAGGTTTCTCGGCCGACGCAGCTGGAGAAAGGACACGCCATTTCCTGAGATGGCAAGGGCCACCGAGGGAGGTTTCGGGGGAGGGGCCAACGCAGATGTTCACCCTGAAAGATTTTTTGTTTTTATGTAGGAATAGTGTGTTACCAAATTAAACTAGAAAAACAAATCCATAGGAGAAATTCCACAGGTCGCATGCTGAAAAAATATGGCATGTCACAGTTTTACAAAGGCATCAAAGGGGTTAGCCTGTGAACTGAAGGAAACATGAGAACCTTATTCCAAAGAGGAGGACTCGAGGGGTGAGGGGGGGAGGGGCAAGGAACCAGGAAGGGTGTCATCGGTGGCGAATCCTATAGAAATGTCACATTCTGCCTGAACATGCGGAGTGTTTCCCACAGAGATATTTCCAATCCCTTCTGCCTAGAATGCTCTCCCCCCAAAATATACCAGGGCTCAGCCCCTCTCTTCATTTAGGACTGCCCAAATATCCTCTTATCAGGAACAACTTCTCTGACCATCACACATGAAAAGACACCTCTTCTATCCCTTTCTAAGTGTATTGTCTTATCCAGTTGCAGTTTCTTTATAACATTGTTTGCCATCTGACAGAAATAACTTGTCTGTTGTCCATACTGCCCCACTAGGATGTAAGCCCCAAGAGGGCAGGGCCCCCCAGGGACAAGCGTAGTGCCTGGCACACGACAGGCAATCACACGACAGGCAATCGATACATATTTGCAGGTTGAACAAGGACCTAAGCACAAGTGAGTTAAACAATTAGGGTAAAATCCTGCTGTGTGCCCTCATTCACACCCATGGAGCACTGGGTGTTTCTCTGCCTTTTCCTCTCTTCCTTCCTAAACACAGCTCCTGAACACACATTTTCATGATCTTGTTTGTTCTTTCAGGTGTAAACCCGACCGAGGCCACGATGACAATCAAATATAACCAGCAGACTAAGACTTTGACCAGTGAGATGCAAATTCCGGACTTCGGTGTTGACCTTGGGACAGTCCTCAGGGTGAGCGATGAGTCTGCTGAGGAAGAAACGTCTTACAAACTCACCCTGGACATTCAGAACAAGAAACTCACCGAGGCCACCTTCACTGGCCACATAAGGTAAGGAAGGCTCGGTTCTGACCTGAGCTGCTGGCCCTCGTGGCTCTTTCCCATCATCCTTTGCAGCTTTAAAGCTGACCAGACCGGGGCATCTCTGGTCTACAGTCTGAGGGGCAGGCAGAGCCTTCAACATTCTGACCCTCTGCACATGACCCATTAGATTTTTCTGTTATTTACTGGGCACTTGCTGTTCATCAGGCGCTGGGCTGGGTGCTTTAAAGAAATTACCTTAGTCCTTGTAATAAACCCCAAGGTAGGTGCGAGTTCCCTGTTTTACAGATAAGGAGACAGTCGCTCAGGGGTGCTGAATAATTTGGCCAAGACAATAGAGCTAATAAATGATGGAGCAGCATTTAAACAGCTTTCAAAAGCCTTCTCTTTCTCCCATGCTGCCCCAGAAAGTCCTGAATTTGTGCTGAAGTTGACTGTAGTAAGAGATGAGTTTAATCTCTGGCCATTTTCCCTGAGCCATCCCGTATCTCGTTGTCCTCACAAGTCGAACTTCTGTGTAATCCTGCGTACCTCCTTGCAATGGACCAAGTCATTGATGTCAGCTGATTTCCTTTTCAATAGCTGTGACAAGAAGGAAGAAGGCAGAATCAAAGGTGTTCTTTCCATACCCCGTTTGCAAGCAGAAGCCAGAAGTGAAACCGTCGCCCTGTGGTCTCCCACCAAACTGCTCCTCCAGATGGACTCATCCGCTACCGCTTACGGTTCGATGATCTCCAAGAAGTTGGCCTGGCGTTACGGTGCGTACCTCCTCCCCATGGGAGCACTGGGGACCGGGGTGCAGCGTTGAGAGCCGTCGGTGAAGAGCTGGGCTGGGACCATTGACACTGTTTCACGTGTGTGTTTTCAGATGAAGAGAAGATTGAATTCGAATGGAACGCAGGCACCAATGTGGATACCAAAAAGGCGGCCTCCAGCTTCCCCGTGGATCTCTCTGATTACCCCAAGAGCCTGAATACATACGCCCATAGTCTCTTGGACCACAGAGTTCCCCAGACAAACATGACTTTCCGGCACGTGGGTTCCAAATTCATAACTGTAAGTACAGATCAGTCAATACGTACATGGTTATATGTGCTAATTACGTACTCAACCCTGAGTTAGGTGAAGGAGGGGATTCAAAGATGGATAAGGCACGCTTCCTACCCCCATGGAATTTCTGGGGAGAAAAGAAACATTTATGCACGGTCACCCAGTTACACAAGGCTGTATATGACAGGTGCCAAATGAATATACACTAAGCGGAAGAGTTTGCCGTGACTCAGATATCAAAGGAAGCTTCAGAACACTGGCTAGGAGTCTGACGATGTTATATGTTCCTTTACTAAAACACAGGAAGTGATCAATGACTGACAACCAAAACTTCATGATTTTCTGTGATTTATTTTTAACTTTTAGTGCATTGTCCTGCTTAGTGATTGATCTGTCAAGTATGGATTATCACCTAATGTTGACTGCGCTTGGAGGCCCAGCTATGCCCATTGCTCTGAAATTTTCTGTTGTTTGTAGGCAGCAAGCACATGGCTCCAGAAGGCATCCGTGAATCTTCCTCACACCCAGAATTTACAAGATTACCTCAGTGGCCTCAAAAAGTTCAACCTCCAGAAGATCAGACTGCCAGAGTTCCACATCCCAGAAAACCTCTTCTTGAAAAGGTAGAAAAAGAAACCAGAAAATTTTCTTTTTTTTTTATTGTTGATAGTATTACAGATATCCCCATGTCTCCCCTCCCCCGCCCTTCACCGAGCCCCTGCCCCACCCCAGGCCTTTACCACATAGTGTCTGTATCTGTGAGCAAGGCATGTAGACATATACATTTTTTGCTTAATCTATCCCATCCCCCTACACCCTTCCCCTCTGAGATCTTTCAGTCTGTTTCATGCATCCATGCCTCTGGACCTATTTTGTTTCTCAGTTTATTTTGTTTATTAGATTCCACATGTAGGTGAGATTATGTGATATGTGTCTTTCTCTGACTGGCTTATTTTGCTTAGCATAATAATCTCCAGGTCCATCCATACAGTCACAAAGGGTAAGAGATCCTTCTTTTTTATAGCTTCATAGTATTCCATTGTGTAAATGTACCATAGGCTTGTTTTTTTTTTCTTTATTGATTTTTTTTTTTTTTAGAGAGAGAGGAAGAAAGAGGGAGAGAGAGAGAAACATCAATGGGAGAGAACATCGACTGGCCACCTCCTACATGCACCCCCACTGGGGATTTGGCCCACAACCTGGGCATGTGCCCTGGCTGGGAATCTTTATCCACTTATCTACTGAGGGGCACTTGGGTTGTTTCCAGATCTTAGCTATTATAAATAGAAAAATTTCTTGAACTGCACAAAGTAAATGGAAGGTTTTGCTCAGCATGATTTAGACTCTAATTCACATTTTTAGGGGAAATAATTTAAATATTTTAAGGAGATTAATAACTGTAGCATAAACACTGTGGCATTTTTGCATTATTAAACTGAGGTCAGAATATGAAGGTCAACCTGGTCAGAAAGAACCTGAGAAATAGTTGAGGATTCTTGTACTTTTGCCCGAACATGTTTTCGTCACTGCAACCTGAACTTGAAGCCATTCCATCTTCCTCCTCATAAGTGAACCCCCCTTTGTTCAGGATCAGGATAGACTCCTAACTGTTTGGGAAGAATTCGAGAGTGTCTAGTGGAATTGCTAACTACAAGTTTGCCGTTGCGCTCCGGAGGGTCAGAACAGTCCCTGAACACTAAATGAAGGCAGCATTCCGAGGGAACATTTCGCTGTAGCCAGTAGCTTCATCCTCATGGGGAAGTCATTCCAAATTGCTTGGGTCACTTTCACATTTATGGAAATACACGTAATGCTTTGCTTTATTTCAAGGAACTAGAAAGAAAGCCAGAGCATGCGCTTTAAAGACAAGAGTCTTTCCTAGACTATCATCTTCAGGGTTAATAAAAAGTGGCCTGTGTCGCATGGCCCTTTCCATAGTCTATGGCTGAACAGCAAAGTTTAATAGACCAAAGTGTGAAAGGACTGAATCCTGCTAAATCACGCATATAGAAAAGTCTATTGAGGATAAGAGGAAAGAGTGTCCACTCATGGGATCCAGGAGCCTCTTCCTCACTACTACTGCCTTGACCAGCAGTCTTCTTTGTGCTTGCTGCCAAGACAGGACCGTGGACCGTAGACTCACCTAGGGTCTTACCAAGCAACCTCCCACTGGATGTCAGGATCCTGGATGGGCAGCATCCAGTCCCTGATGGAGTCATGCAATGAACAGTAGATTTACTTACAAAATGTAAAACTCTTCCATGCTACTTTATTCTTCTAAGTTATTATAATAGTTCGTGATATGTAGATAGTATTGAAAAGATTGCGAACTGGTTTGGGTATTGTTCTCATTTGCTGTTTAACTCCGTGAGGTCAGCAGAAAGGGCACTATTACCCTCACTGCCCAGATAGCATCACTGAGACTCAGAAGGGTGAATTCATGAACACTCCCACCATCAGTGGAAGCTAACACTCTATCCCACACCTGGGTTCTTTCCACATGTCAAGTTGCTCCAGTTCGGTTTAGCAAATGTATTAAGTGTCCCCGATGTGCAAGCTATTAGGCGAGATACAGTGAGAAGAAAAAAACTGAACAAGATGTAACCCTTCCTCCCAGGAAGATACCATGTTAACACGGACAAAGTGCAAGCAAACAAGTTCTAATAATATAAGCAGAATTATGACATGCTCTTTGAGATGGGTGTAAGGAACTGTGTCACTATCAGAACGAGAGAAATTAACTGTGACTTAAATAGGTTGGTACTGAGAAAGAAGTGGCCCTGGATGGGTTTGGAACGGCTGTGAGTGTTTGGTAGGTGGAGGGAAAAGAGGGATTTAGGCACAGAGAGGAGCACGAGGGACAGTGAGAATGGGTTGGGAATAGGGCGCATGCTCTATGGCTTGGAAGGTCAGGTGGCAGAGAATTCTGAATTCTTGATGTCTGACTGTAGGGACATTGTCTTTGTTCTTTATTTCAGTGATGGCCGGGTCAAGTACACCTTGAACAAGAACAGGGTGAAAATGGAGATTCCTTTGCCTTTGGGTGGCAAATCCTCCAAAGATCTAAAGATGGTGGAGGCCATTCGGACACCAGTGATCAACTTAAAATCTGTGGGAATCTACCTGCCATCAAGAGAGTTCCAAGTCCCCGCTTTTACCATCCCCAAGTCGTATGAACTGTCGGTGTCTCACTTGGGTGTTCTAGACCTCTCCACAAACATCTACAGCAACTTGTACAATTGGTCTGCCTCCTACACTGGTGGCAACACCAGCACAGAGCACTTTATCCTTCAGGCTCAGTACCGCATGAAGGCCGACTCTGCGGTCGACCTGCTGTCCTACAGTGTGCAAGGTGAGCCATGCTTGGGTAGAGGGTGCACAGGGCTAATTCATTGCCAACTCTGATGGCATAGCCTCCTCCAGGGAGAGAAAAGCTTAGACTTTCTTACAGATATTTTTCTTGCTACTTGGAAGCCTATTCATTCATTCATCTGTTCATTCAACCAATAGAAATATTTATTAAACGTATAAAACATATCAAGTATTCTACTAGAGAAAACAGACAGGGAATCTGGCTATTATAATTCAGTGTAAGAGGTGCTGTGATAGGGTATCATGTGTGAGTATAAGATACAGAGGAAGCACTTAATAAGGGAACCCAGCAAGGTCAGGGTTGGCCAAGGAAGTCTTCCTGTAGGAATGCTTTTTGCTGTCAGATTTTATGCTTACATCATAGATGGAGGAGACTATTGCGCAACTGATCCAGATCAATGGGGTTTTATTATTGAAAGCCTTACAACACAGAAATTGGTCTGGAAATGTACTGCCTAATTTAACCAATGTGATTTCATTTGTATATTAGGATCTGGAGAAACAACATACGACCACAAGAATACATTGACATTATCATGTGCTGGATCTCTACACCACAAATTTCTGGATTCGAATGTCAAATTCAGCCATGTAGAAAAGATTGGGACTAATCCAGCCTCCAAAGGTTTACTGACATTCAATGCATCTAGTTCCTGGGGACCGCAGATGTCTGCTTCAGTACATTTGGACTCAAGAGTGAAAGACCATTTGTATATCAAGGAAGTCAAGATTGATGGGCAGTGCGGAGTCTCTTCACTCTATGCTAACGGTGCATATAGCCTGTCTTATCAAAAGGATCCTACCACTGGCCAGCGAACCGGAGAGTCCAACCTGAGGTTTAACTCTACCTACCTCCAGGGCACAAATCAGATAATAGGAAGATATGAAGATGGAACCATCTCCCTCGCTTCCACCTCAGATCTGCAAGATGGCATCGTTAAAAATACTGCTTACCTCAAATATGAGAACTACGAGGTGACTATGAAATCTGATACCACCGGGAAGTACGAGGACTTTGCCACTTCTAGCAAAGTCGATATGACCTTCTCTAACCGAAATGCATTGCTACGTTCTGAGTATCAAGCTGATTACAAGTCACTGAGGTTCTTTGCCCTGCTTTCTGGTTCACTGAATTCCCATGGTCTTGAAATAAATGCTGACGTCCTGGGCACTGACAAAATTAATACTGGTGCTTACAAAGCAACACTAAGGATTGCTGGAGATGGACTGTCTACCAGCGCAACAACCAACCTGAAGTACAGTCCCCTGATGTTGGAGAGTGAGCTGAACTCCGCCCTCGGGCTCTCTGGGGCATCCCTGAGATTCACAACCAACGGCCGCTTCCGGGAACACAATGCAAAATTCAGCCTAGATGGAAAAGCTGCCCTCACGGAGGTGTCACTGGGAAGCGCTTATCAGGCCATGATTCTGGGTGTCGACAGCAAAAATATTTTCAGCTTCAAAATTAACCAGGAGGGACTTAAGCTTTCCAGTGACGTGATGGGCTCATATGCTGAAATGAAACTTCACCACACAAACAGTCTGAACATCGTGGGGTTATCACTGGACTTCTCTTCAAAACTCGACAACATTTACAGTTCTGACAAGTCGTATAAGCAAACTTTCAATGTGCAGCTGCAGCCCTATTCTCTCGTAACGACTTTAAACAATGACCTGAAATTCAACGATCTGGATCTGACCAACCATGGGAAATTGCGGCTGGAACCCCTGAAGCTGACTGTGGGTGGGAACGTAAAAGGAGCCTACCAAAATAATGAAATAAAACACATGTACACCATTTCTTATGCAGACTTGTCAGCGAGTTATAAAGCAGACACCGTAGCTAAAGTGCAGGACACAGAGGTAAGCCATCGGCTCAGCGCAAGCATCACTGGGCTGGCTTCAGCCATTGACATCAGCACAAACTACAATTCGGACTCACTGCGTTTCAGCAACGTTTTTCATTCTACAGTGGCCCCGTTTACAGTGACCATCGATGCACACACAAACGGCAACGGGAAACTGACTCTCTGGGGAGAACACACAGGGCAACTGTACAGCAAATTCCTCTTGAAAGCAGAACCTCTGGCCCTAACGTTCTCTCATGATTACAAAGGATCCACAAATCACCATCTCATGTCCAGAGGGAGCGTCAATACTGCTCTAGATCATAAAGCCAGTGTCCTGCTCACTCCGGCCGAGCAGACAGGCACCTGGAAACTCAAGACCGAGTTGAACAAAAATGAATACAGCCATGAGTTTGATGCTTACAATACTAAAGACAAAGTTGGTGTGGAGCTTACTGGACGAGCCCTGGCTAACTTCACCATGCTAGACTCCCCGATTGAAGTCCCTTTTTTACTCAATGGTCCTATCAATGTAATTGATGCTTTGGAGATGAGGGATACTATTGACCAGCCCCAGGAATTCTCTATGGTTGCTGCCATAAAATATGATAAGAACCAAGATGTTCACACCATCAACCTCCCATTCTTAAACCTCCTGCCAGAACATTTTGAGAAGAGTCGAATAGTAATTGTAACTTCATTGGAAGCCATACAGAGAGAACTGAAACGTATCAATATTGATCAGTTCATGAGGAAATACAGAACAGCCTTGGACAAATTCTCACAGCAAGTTAATGACCAGCTGAATGAAGTCAGTTGGGAGAGACAAGTTTCAAACGCCAAGGAGAAACTAACTGCTTTCGCAGAAAATTATGGAATTACAGAAAATGATCTAACAATTGCATTGGACAATGCCAAAATCAACTTTAATGAAAAACTATCTCAACTACAAACATATGTGATACAATTTGATCAGTATATTAAAGATAATTATGATTTGCATGATTTTAAAATAGCTATTGCTAAGATTATTGATCGAATCATTGAAACATTGAAAATTCTTGATGAACATTATCATATCCGTGTAAATATAGTAAAAACAATTAATGACTTGGATGTGTTTATTGAAAAGATTGAGTTTAACAATATGGGAAGTACAGTATCCTGGATTCAAAATGTGACTGCTAAGTATCAAATCAGAATTTGGGTACAAGAAAAGTTGCAGCAGCTCAAGACACAAATTCAGAATGTTGACATCCAGCACCTTGCAGAAAAGTTAAAACAACAGGTTGAAGCCATTGATGTCAGAGTGCTTTTAGATCGGTTGAGGACTACAATTCCATTCCAAAAAATAAGGCAAATTATTGAGCATGTGAAATACTATGTTAGAAATTTCATTGAAGGTTTTGAAGTAACTGAGAAAATCAATGCTTTTCGAGCCATGGTTCACAAGTTAATTAAAATGTATGAAATAGACCAACACATCAAGATTTTAATGGAGAAATTAGTGCAGTTAGCCCACAAATATAAGTTGAAGGAGACTATTCAGAAGTTGATCAATGTCTTACAACAAGTTGAGATAATAGATCACTTTGAGAAATTGGTTGGGTTTTTTGATGATGCTGTCACTCGGCTTAAAGCATTGTCTTTTAAGAAATTCATTGAAGAAGTAAACAAATTCCTTGACATTTTGATAAAGAAAATGAAGTCCTTTGATTATCACCAGTTTGTAGATAAAACCAATAACAAAATCCGTGAGGTGACTAAGAGAATCAATGGTGAAATCCAGGCTCTGGACCTCCCACAAAAAGCTAAAGCACTAAAAGTATTTGTAGAGGACATCAGAGCTGTGATCTCAGTCCATCTGAAAAACCTAAAAGGCACCAAAATAACCTTATTTGTTGATTGGTTACAGGAAGCTTTAAATTCAACATCTTTAAATTACATGAAAGTCAAATTCCAAGAGACCCTACAAGATATACGAGACCAAATATATCTAATGGACGGTGGACAGAAAGTTCAGAAATTCCTGTTGCTTGTAGGCCAAATTTATAACACACTTGTTACTTACATTTCTGACATTTGGAGTCTTGCTGCCAAGGGCTTTACTGACTTTGCAGAACGGTATTCTATCCAAGCCTGGGCTGAATCCCTAAAAGCACTGGTAGAACAAGGGTTCACTGTTCCTGAAATCCAGACCACCTTTGGGACCATGCCTGCCTTTGAATTCAGTCTCCGTGCCCTTCAGGAAGCTACATATCAGACTCCTGAGTTCATAGTCCCCCTGACAGATTTGAAGATTCCATCAGTTCAGATAAACTTCAAAAAATTAGAAGATATAGAAGTACCATCCAAGTTTTCCACGCCAGAATTTACTGTCCTCAACACCTTCCACATTCCTTCCTTTACAATTGACTTGGTAGAAATAAAAGCAAAGATCATCAGAATCATTGACCAGATGCTGAACAGTGAGCTGCAGTGGCCAGTTCCAGAAGTGTACCTAGGGGATCTGATGGACATGGACACCATTCTTGCTAGAATCACTCTGCCAGACTTCGATGTACCAGAAATCACAATTCGAGAATTCATAATCCCAAATCTTGACCTCAAAGATTTTCAAGTTCCTGACCTTCACATACCAGAATTCCAGCTTCCCAGCATCTCACACACAATTCAAGTACCTACTTTTGGCAAGCTGCATAGCATTCTGAAAATCCAATCTCCCCTTTTCACATTAGATGCAAATGCAGACATTCAAAATGTAACAACATCAGTGAATGAGGCAGGGATTATGGCTTCCATCACTGCCAAAGGAGACTCCAAATTAGAAGTTCTCAAATTTGATTTTCAGGCAAATGCACAACTTTCATATCCTGAGATGAATCCACTCATTCTGAAGGAATCCATGAGTTTCTCCAGCAAGTACCTGCAAACAGAGCATAAGGGCGAAGTCCTATTTTCTGGAAATGCTATTGAGGGAAAATCAAACACAGTGGCAAGTTTACGCACAGAAAAAAATACAATGGAGCTTAGTAATGGTGTGCTTATCAAGGCAAACAATCAGCTTACTCTGGACAGCAACACAAAGTACTTCCACAAATTGCACATCCCCAAACTGGACTTCTCCAGTCAGGCTGGCCTACACAATGAAATCAAGACCCTGTTTGAAGCTCAACATGTAGCATGGACTTCTTCTGGGAAAGGATCATGGAAATGGGCCTGCCCCAAATTCTCAGATGAGGGGACCCATGAATCCCAAATTAGCTTCACTGTGAGAGGACCCCTCACTTCCTTTGAATTGTCTAATCAGCTCAGTAGCAAGCACCTGAGAGTAAACCAAACCTTGGTTTATGAATCTAGCTTTCTCAAACTTTATCAGTTGGATATCCAGTCACAAGTTGAATCCCAGCATGTGGGTCACAGTGTTCTCACTGCTAAAGGCACAGCACGGCTTGGAGAAAGGAAGGTCGAGGTAACTGGCAACCATGATGCTCATTTAAATGGAAAAGTTAGTGGAACTTTGAAAAATTCTCTTTTCTTTTTAGCACAGCCATTTGAGATTACTGCATCCACAAACAATGAAGGCAATCTGAAAGTTAGTTTTCCATTAAAATTGACAGGGAAAATAGACTTCCTGAATAATTATGCACTGTTCTTGAGTCCTCACGCCCAGCACGCAAGTTGGCAAGCCATTGCCAGGTTCAACCAGTATAAGTACAATCACAGTGTTTTTGCTGGAAACCACGAGAACAGCACTGAGGCCCACATGGGAGTAAGTGGAGAAGCCAACCTGGATTTTCTAAACACTCCTTTAACAATTCCTGAAACAACTCTACCTTACACAAAACTCAAAATCCCCCAGGTGAAAGATTTCTCCTTATGGGAAAATACTGGTTTGAAGGAATTCTTGAAAACAACAAAGCAATCATTTGATTTAAGTGTAAAGGCTCAGTATAAGAAAAACAAAGACAAACACTCCATCCCCGTTCCTTTGGACATGGTTTTCGTGTTTATCAATCAGAACATCAAGTCATTCGAGAAGCATTTTGAGAAAGTCAGAGTCAAGGCATTGGATTCTTTTACCAAATCCTATAATGAAGCAAAAATTAAGCTTGATAAATACATAGCTGAAAAATCCCAGAACAAGCAACCCAAGACCCTTGAGATTCCTGGATACACCATTCCAGTAGTCAACATTGAAGTATCCCCATTCACAGTCAAGATGCTGACATTTGGCTATGAGATCCCAGAAGGGGTCAGCACCCCAGATTCTGGCTTCTCTGTGCCCTCACATGCAGTAGTCCTGCCATTCCCAGAGTTGCCAGCCCTTCATGTCCCTAGGAATCTTCTGAAGTTTTCTCTTCCAGTATTCAAGGTATCAAGTATCCCAAACAATATTTTAATTCCGGCCATGGGCAATATTACCTATGACTTTTCCTTTAAATCAGGTGTCATCACCCTGAATACCCATGTGGGACTCTACAACCAATCCGATATTGTCGCTCATTTCCTTACTTCCTCTTCCTCTGTCACTGATGCACTGCAGTGCAAATTAGAGGGCACCTCCAGTCTGACCATGAAAAGAGGGTTGAAGTTAGCCACAGCTTTGTCTCTGAGTAACAAATTCGCAGAAGGCAATCATGACAGTACCATTAGCTTAACCATGAAAACCATGGAAGCTTCCATGACAACAGCAGCAAAAGTTCAAATTCCAATTTTGAGAATGAATTTCAAGCAGGAACTGAATGGAAATACCAAGTCAACACCTACTGTCACTTCATCCATTGAATTAAAGTATGATTTCAATTCCACCAAGCTGCACTCTACTGCTTCAGGGACAGTTGAGCACAAGTTCAACCTAGAAAGCCTCACTTCTTACTTTTCCATCGAATCATCCAACAAAGGAACTATCCAGGGTTCGGTCCTTTTACGGGAATATTCAGGAATGATTGCCAGTGAGGTCAGCACTTATTTAAATTCCAAGGGTACTCGGTCTTCAGTGAAGCTGCAAGGGGCTTCCAAAGTTGATGGTATCTGGAACCTTGAAGCGAAAGAAAGCTTTGCTGGAGAAGCCACTCTCCAACGCATATATGCCACCTGGGAGCACAATACAAAAAACCACTTACAGCTACAGCCCCCCTTTTTAACATTTGGAGAGCATACAAGCAAAGCCATCCTGGAACTCGCCCCATGGAAACTGTTAGCCCTTGTTCAGGTTCATGCAAGTCAGTCCGGTTCCTTCCTTGATCTCAATAACCTTGTCGAAGAAATGTCCCTGAATATTAACACTGAGAACCAGAAGGCCAGCTGGAAAAGCGAGATCCAGGTTCACTCCCTGTCTCTCCAGAATGATGTACAACTATCCAATGACCAAGAAGAGACACGCCTTGACGTTGCAGGATCCTTAGAAGGGTACCTACGGTTCCTCAACAGCATTGCCCTACCAATTTATGACAAGACTGTATGGGAATTTCTAAAGCTGGATGTAACCACCAGTATTGATAGGAAGCAGTATCTTCGTGCTTCTACAGCCCTTGTATACACCAAAAATCCCAGTGGCTATGTGTTCTCTGTCCCCGTGCAAGAATTGGCTGATAAATTTGTTATTCCTGGACTGAAACTAAATAATCTGAACTTAGTTCTTGTGACACCTACGTTCCAAGTCCCATTTACAGATCTGCAGGTTCCATCCTACGAACTTGATGCAAGTGAAATAAAAGTCTACAAGAAGCTAAGTACTTCGCCATTCACCCTCAATGTACCAGCACTACCCACAGTGAAATGCCCTGAAGTTAATGTGATAACAAAGTATTCTGAGCCAGGTAACTCCTCAGTTCCCTTTTTTGAAATAACTGTGCCTAAATTTCAGTTAACTGTGCCCCAGTATACCTATCCAAAAAGTATTTCCTTTGGCAATGCTGTTTTGGATCTAAATGAGATGGCCAGCAAGATTGCAGACTTCAGGTTGCCAGACATCACTGTGCCTGATCAGACCATTGAGATTCCCTCCATTAAGTTCTCTGTACCTGCTGGAATTCACCTTCCTTCCTTTGGATCACTGACTGCACGTTTCGGAGTGGCCTCTCCCCTGTATAATGCTACTTGGAGTGCTGGTTTGAAAAACAAAGAAGACCATGTTGAAATGTTCCTGGATTCCACATGCAACTCAACCATACAGTTCCTGGAATATGATCTTAAAGGTAAGGAGATGTCCTGACTCCTCCTGAATAAGAATTCCATATGTTATATGTTTTCAATGACAGTTGTGAATCAATAATCATGTAATTATGACTAGAGACACAATTATTCTCTATAGCAAAATATAAAGGAAGAGATTCATATACAACCATGTGTAACATCCTGTAGAAACCTACTGACATGTAAGAGGAATAGATCAAAGGAAATAGACTTTTCTGTAATGACTTTAGGACTGGTAATATCTTCTTTTTTCTTCTTTTTTTTTTAAGTGTGGGCTGCATGTTTCAAATATATAAGCAAACCATTTACATTAAGATATACTTCACTTCTCCTGGTTTTCACAATGAAAATGTCTGTGTCGTACAATTATTAACCAAATGAAAAATCTCTCCTTTGCAGCTGTGGAAACACTCAAGATTGAAGATGGCATGTTAGTCAGTAAGGTGAAAGGAACATTTTCACACCGTGACGTCAGCGCAGAATATAAAGAAGATGGCAAATACCATGATTATCTGTATAGAACTTTTATTGAAACATCATTCCTTTTCAGATCATTGTAATTTTTTCCATCTTTGTACCCCTTGCATGGTGGCTCATCTGCTTTTCTGTTTGTAGGGACTGGGGAGGAGACGCTCACCTTGACATCACTAGCCCAACGTTCACGGATGTCCATCTGCACTGCCATGTGGGCGAGAATATGCTCTACTCTGCAGCCTCTCCAGCCATAGGCACGGTGGCCATGGACTTGGAAGACAATGAGGATTCCATAAAATTCAATATCTACTACCGCCCTCAGGTGAGCCCCACCTAATGGGTTACACACCTTAGCAGTAAGTAGAGATTTGAAGCAGATAAATGTAACTCAGTACAAAGTATTTTCTCAGAGTTTTCCCAGATTAGGTGAAACAGAGCAATGAGCAGGTTGACCTCTGAGGAACTATTCTCCAAGAAATATTACAATGAGCCTTTTATTGATTTTCATTATTAGATGCGCATATAACATCATATTACCACTGTTATTTCACTACTACTGGGCAAATCTAGAAAAAGAGGGTTACTGCTCCCCACCTGCGTCATGAGTAAACTCTGCCATGTGCTGACTACATTTTCAGATAGTGTTTTCTGGAGTGCTTGCAGCTTCAAAATGCTTCCCCACAATAGAATTTTTAGATGAGATTTGCCAGATTTGTCTCATATACTTTACAAGTTCTACCAAGGCCAGGTCAAAGATGCATTAGATTTAGTAGACGAAAAGGAACTACGAGGTTCTGATACTAAAGTTTGTCATAGGCTTGGAGAATGAATGGTTCCTGATGCAGGTAGCCTAGGTCTCTGCTGCATGGGCTCTGGACAGTTTACTTCTGTGCTACTTCTTTTTCTCTGAACGAGCCTTTTCCTGTCTCTACCTCCCCTCTCTCCCCCTCCCCCTGCTCCTCCTCTGATCTGCAGTCCAGGGAAGGCCTGAATGTTAAGTGTTGTTGTGTAAATGCCATGCATCATTTTCCCCTTTCTGAGGCATGTGATAAAGAGGAATTCACTACAGTAGACTTGTTTAACTGTAAGACAAACACAGGAACTGACATAAGACAAATTCCCTTCAGAATGTGAATAATCCTCTGACCTCTACCTTTAACTGCTAATGAAGTTTTAGTGGCGTATATTATGTAATCAGGATAATTGAAAACATGTTTTTTTTTCATCTTTTTTTTTTTCCTGGTTTTAGTCATCTCCAGATAAAAAACTCAGCATATTCAAAATTGAGTCTAGGTTCCCTGAATCTAGTGAGAACTATGAGGTGAGAGTTAACTGGGAAAAAGAGGCTGTGTCTGAATTTCTCAGCTCTCTGAAAGACAACGTGCCCAAGGCAGCAGGGACCCTTTACAACTATGTCAACAAGCACCACCAGGAGTACACAGGACTTGATCTGAGAGAGGCGTCTTTAAAACTTAGAGGAAGTCTTCAGAACACGGCTGAGCAGACCTATCAAGGAGCACTGAGTCTGATTGATGAGGTGGACAAGACACTGGAACTCAAGAGGGTAACCAGAGGCGCTACTAGAACCTACCAGTGGTGGAATGACAAGGCCCAGACTCTGTACCAGGAACTGTTGGATCAGGAGGGCCGTGTCGATCTCCAGAGACTCCAAAATAAGGTGTTGGACAACCTAATAGGAGTTACTAAGGAGTACAGTGCCATAGTCACGCATCTGCTTGACCTGTTCATCGATTACCTGAAGTTCACCAGACTCCAGCTCCCAGGAAGAGCCGGGACATACACTTTAGATGAGCTCTGCACTATGGTCATGAGGGGAGTAGGGAAGGCACTGTCCCAGGTGCATTCAAACATCCATAGTGGGTTAGAAATACTATTTTCCTATTTCCAAGGCCTGATGGAGAAATCTGAATTAATCAAGGACCTAAAGATTAAATTTCCTTTTGAGTCAGCAAGTGTTAAACTAACAGATGAAACCTTAATATATGGGAAACTGTTGAACTCTTCATCACAAAGAGTCCAAAGGATATGGAATGTCCTCCAATCTAACAAAACTACAGAGATACTAGGTGATCTTCAGAGATTTGCACAAGGTGTTTTCCAATCCGTAGAAGAAGAAATGAACCTCTTAAAGAAGAAGAAACTTACTAATCTCATTGATGAGATCCAACAGATCAAAACAACCTTGGACAGTCATATTCAATATGTTTTTAGGTTCCTGAGAGAATACTTGTACCTTGACTTTGGCAACTTTAATGAATTTGTTCAAAACAAACTTCAAGAAGCTTCTCATGAGTTAGAGCAGATCCATCAGTACGTAAAGGCTCTTCTCAAAGAATATTTTGATTTGGATATGGTCAGCTGGAGAGTGAAATATTATGAATTTGAAGAAAAGCTAATCAACCTGATCAAGAAGTTAGTAGATGCCCTGAGGGATTTCCATTCCAAATACACAGGCAGTGCTGATGGTTTTGCTTCCCAACTCTCAAGTGACATTGAGCAATTTGTGCAGAAAGATATCCCGAAATATCTTAGCGTCCTTGCTGATACAGATGGGAAAATAAAAGAAAAGATTGTGGAGCTTTCTACCAGTGCCCAGGAAATAATTAAAAGCTGGACCGTTGCAATGAAGAAAATCATTTTTGATTACCACCGGCAGTTCAAGTATAAACTACAGAATTTTTCAGACCAACTCTCTGATTACTATGAAAAATTCATTGCTGCGTCTCAAAGATTGATTGACCTGTCCATTGAAACATACCACATGTTTCTGATATATATCACTGAGTTACTACAAAAGCTGCAATCGTCCACAGTCGATGACAGGAGCCATTACCAAGAGATTGCTCCAGGAGAATTAATTATCACCTTCTAATTTTTGTAAAGCAATTCTCATTTATTCTTCTACTCCAATTAAGCTTCTGCATAGGAGAAAAACAATTCAAACTGTATGCATTGGTATAATTATTCACTGGGCCCATCCTGTAGCAGGCAGCTGACTACACGCAGAAGTACAAGGAAGCTGGACCTACACTGGGGCTGGTGGCAGGTCTCCGAAGGTCTCTGAACTCTGGGAAACAACATATTTTTGCAAGTTAAAGGAAATCAGGACCTGAATTAATTTGCTAAACTTGGGGGAGGGGAGGGAAAACAAATAAATGAATTCTTTATTGTGTGTCTTACTCATTATGGTTCATTCATATTGAAAGATAGAAAAACGAGGGTATTGATTCACATGTCTGATGTTTGAAAACCTCCGGGAGAACGCACACTGTGTTTAGAGTGACAAAGGGAAAAGGGAGAATTTGTGGAGGGAAATATTTTGCCACTTGTAAAAAAAAAAAAAAAAGGTAACTAATCTCAGGGATTGTATTTGCCAAGTGAAAAGGACAAATAATTTGCAAAGGTTTTTGCATAATTTAATCCCAAAGGGCATCTCATTGGTCCTCATGTGCTACACGGCCTTGCTCACCAACCCTCTGCTAGGCTCTGCGATAGATCAACACGCCCTTATTTCGCCCAGCTTGCCAGGGTGGAGAAGGGGTAGCTAGGAAGTCCTGGCTCCAAGGGCTTCCTGGCAGAAGGACCCCAGAAGTCTCCCTTGCAGCTCCAGGATCCATTCAATGCAAAGAAAGTAAGAGTGGAAGAGAGGGTGGGGGGATGCAGACTCCTCACATTTTGGGGATCAGCACGTATTCATTCCCTTGGATGTCCTTATTTTCCAAATTTAACATCTAACCAGGTGTGATTCAGAACCAGGGATGTCTCTTGCCACATCCACTCCTTCAACCTCTGATTGTGAACACTGACGAGGTCCCGCCGGGGCAGCCTCGCTGAGCTTTCACAAGGGAAGGCTGCAAAGGCCCTGTGCCACACAACTGCCACTAACACCAAAGGGGGGCAAACGTGGCTCTCCTTCTGTGCACTGAAGAACAAAGGAAGGCTGTGTAACCTTTGGGGAATGGGAGCTTGGAGATTACTCCACATCCCCCAAGTCCTACGTGAGTTCTGTTTGGAAAAGACCCTTTTTATTCAAAAATACCTTCAACTGCCACCATTCTTTTATAAAGCCTCACATTCTCTTGGTGAAGCCCACTGCTAAAATGCACAAGTATTACCTGGAAAACACATTAGCCCATTGGGAACTTTGCAGGATTATTTCCCCTGGAACGAAGAGCCAGAAAGAGTCCTGGGGAAGTGGGATACATGGTACCATATGGATCTGGTGCTCAAGGAAAGTTGTTGGATAATGAATCAATGGATAGATGAATGAATGAATGAATGAATGAATGAATGAATGAATGAGGAGTCAGTTCCAAGTGTGAAAAAAGGGGAGAAATTAGGCCCAGATCTCAACGTTTCTTGATGGGCTTTGAGCAGCCAGAATCTACCGAGTGTTCAAATTGAAAGGAGGCCTGGAGTTTTGACTTAATTTGGAGGGAAAGGAGGAGTCCAAGGTTCCGTGCTCACATGATGATACATGTATCTGGGGCTGAAAAGGGGGAAAGTTGACACAAGTTTAAAATGATCAAGTAATCACATAGCACCACCTGCCCAGTTCCCTGACTGGTAACCCTATATGAGGTGCCCCCGGCTGGCTTAGAATACCTTTCTCATACTCAATAAAGAGAGAAGATGAAGGGTCCAAGGGCTTGGACTTCACTTGCTCTCTTCTTTGGCCTTCAACTGAATATCAGGACACCTCTCTGAGCTGATGAATGGCTACATTCCTTACTTGCTTGTAGCTTTGGATGACTTTTTCCCCTCTGTGAGCCTCAGTTTTCATATGTATAAAATAAGAATAATATCTATCTTGCCTACCTTGAAGGGCTGTTCATGGAAGTCAGATGTGAAAAAGCTTTATAACTTTTATTTATATTTTAAATTTTTTTTCTTTATTGTCTTGAGAGAGAGAGGGAGGGATAGAGAGATAGAAACATTGATGAGAGAGAACATCGATTGGCCATGTCCTGCATGCCCCCCACTGGGGGTCGGGCCCACAACCTGGGCACGTGCCCTGACTGGGAATCAAACTGGTGATCTCTTGGTGCATGGATCAATGCTCAACCACTGAGCTACACCGGCGGGTTGAGTTTTGTAACTTTTAATGTTGTATAAAAACAAAGTGCCATTATTATCAGATGGTTATTTAAATGAATTATTGGCAAGGAAAGAGCATGGAATTAGGGAGGTCTATCCAGTTCAATGAACGTTCATGAAATGCTTTTATGTGCTGAGCATAAAGGTTCTAGAGAGGAGACAGAGCTCAGTAAGATGCAGTCCCTGGATATCTGTCTGTCTATCAGAGGTGGAATGTGCTGCCCTATGATGGGTATATATATGAGGGTTTATATCAGGAAAAAATGAGGATCAAGACATTTTCATGAAGAAACATAGCTTGAAGACGCACAGATTTTGAGAAGTGATAAGGAAGAAAGGCCATTGTAGAAAGAAGAGAAACATGAGGGAAGAAAGCTAGGCAATGTGTTTGAAGACACTACATCATCTAGTGTAACTAGAGCCCAGGAAACGTGATTGGAGGGGTGAAAGCCAAAGTGAACGCTTTTCCTCTCTGCTGAAAAAGGGTGTCCAGTGCACGTTTTTGAGCAGGAGGGTGATATGAGTTGTGATTCCTTAAAAACTGATATGGTAACTCATGCAGGGTGAACTGCAAATGCATGAATCTTGGTCTGAGACTGTGCCAGGGTCCAAGTACAAGATGCTGGGCACTTTGACCAAGTCGTAGATGCTGGGAACGGTGCGGAGGGCTTGGATACAAGCAGCATCATGAAGGCACAGTCAGCGGACTCAGGGGGCTGATTGTTAGATGAAGGGGCAGGTGCAAAGGCCACTGGAAGGGGAGCCGCCTTGGAAGTCACTGGAGCCTAGAACTGGCAAGAAGAGCAAGAGCGAAGATTGAGTCAAGCGGACTTCAAAGTCGTGACGTTGGGAACCTGCATAACTGGAAGGGCTGGGGGGCACCAACAGAAACAGGAGGAGTGTGAGAGAGACAGAGATGCTTTGTGTGAGGCCTGGACTCTTATACTCCCAAGCCAGAAAGGGACTATGAGGTCACATGGTAACTTTCGAGTGTCAGTGGTATGTCCAGGCAGAAATAGCCGGCAGGCTACTAAACTGGAAATGTGGGCTAGAGAAACAATATCCAAAGGAATATCTTCACCAACGATTGTATTGATTTGATGTTCTTATAAGGACCTTTGCAAGCTACACAAGGAAACAGAGCGTTTCCTCTTGAACAGTTAATTGGCCCATTGTCCTGAGAGTTGGCCAACATGTACATCTCCTAAGAACATACTGTGCAGTGACGTGGAAAGTCCTGCTATAAACACAGATATTCATCCTGTAAAACAAATATCCAAAGTTTAAAACCGAAGGAGAAACGAAATCATGGAGCCCAGCCCAGGTTCGTGGAACTTTGGGAGGACTTGCGAGTTGTGTGCTTTGATTCCACTCCCGAGTCCTGCCTGAGCGAGTCACGCTGTCCCCAGAATGCCCCCTGGAATGATCGAGTCAGCTGGGAGCGGGCACCACTGGGTACACTCAAAACTACTTCCATTTCCTTTGCTTTTCACTTGACAGCTGGTCAGCTGAGGAGCCCAACTGCCCTTTTTTGGAGAGATGAGCAAAGCCCCCTCTGACTTTATATTCTAGGTCCCTCTTGTGGCTCTAATTTATGGCTTAGTCCCCTTTCGGTCAGAGAAGGGGCCAAGCTGGCCCTCCAGTGGGGCCTGCCACGTGGAAGCCAGAGTGGACAAACAGATGTTCCCTCTAAAGGTGTCTAATTACCAGAGACGAATGTGCAGAAACAGAAACAGATCCTACGCCCGAGCTCATCTCCTTGTCTTGCAGTTTCACATGAAGACGTCAGCTACAACTCCCTTCAGAGCACTCTGTGTGTTGGTGGGATGGTTGCGTGGTCACCACCAAATAACATTCCAGGGCCTCATAAAAGTTGGTGGAGTAGCCACGCATGTTTCTGCAAGGAGAAGGCCTTGCCCTTCTTGTCCTGCACAAACTGATTCACACCTGCCTCGGGTCTGCGCAGTGCTTCGGGTCAGTGAGACGGGGCACTAGGCACTAAGCTCTGACCCTTGGGTCAGTTTTACCAGCAAGGCCCAGTTTGGGGTAAGAGGGATAACTCAAGCCTTGGAGTTGGCCTGGTCTGCGAGCTGTTGATCTGTGCCCCATCCTGGTTTTTAAGCTATGGCGAGGGCTGCCGCTGTACCAAAAGTCATGCTGGCAGAGGCCTCCAGGATCTGGACTCTAAACTAGAGTCTGGCCCGAGGAAAGGAGAGCTCAGTCAGCAGCCCAGCTACCCCAACACTCCTGTTACCCGAGTAGACTCCTCCTCTCCTCGTCCATCATGCGAGACCCAAGCAGGCTGGCATGGAGATCCCTCTGGAGCAGAAGGCCCAGGACAAGTCCAGAAGACCCAAGGCCCTCGTCCTGGGGCCGGGCTAGCTGGCATGGAGCTTGCACACTAGAGCACCTGGAGCCCAAGCTGCGCGGGTCGACTGTGGAGAGAACAATAGGGAGGAGGTGGAGCACGCTGGTAGCTCTCCCCCCGAGATCGAGAAGGCCTGGAGCTGCCGGCATGTCGCTCTGTTCAAAAGAAGACCTAAGCTCTGAGCCCAAACTCAAGTGTCACCACCGGTGAGCTAAGGTACCGCAGAAAAGTCACCAAATCTTTCTAACCCTCGGTTTCATCTTTAAAATGTGGGTCATGAGAGAAGGGTAGGTTGAGACACTCTGAGCAGGTTCCCTCTTAGGTGACAGGGTGTAATGAAGAGTAAATCATGTGTCAAGCCTGCACACACTGGATAAATTAATTGTATCCTGTTGACAGTAGTTAAA